TGACGTAAAGGTTCTTAATTTCGGCCCCCGTGCCTGAATTCGCAATACCTACAGCGGATATAGTGGCAGGGGTGGAAAACGCGATTCGAAACTGCCCGCCGTACCAGGCTCACTACATTCGCAGAGATCGGCCTCGTCCTTCTGTCATTCTACCAATTGCCCACGTAGCAACTTGCCCACAGCGAAGGAACGTGTGGCGTTGCGCGAAGGCTAACGCAAGCGCGGAGGATCTTGTCGTAAGTACAGCGGCCAAGGCAATGCCAACGGTGGTCATGAAAACCATAGACTACCATTCTCTAAAGTTGAGGCATTGGCTGAACAGATCAGTCTACACTGTCCTGAAAGCAACGCCCGTTCGAACAACTGAGGGGAGAGGTCGCGGCAACGGGGTAAATAACTCGGCTGCTATAGAGCCGGAAGCCAAACCTAGGCTAAAACCGTGGCAACCACTGTACCCCTAGGCTTTATGGTCTCTAAGATACACAAACCAGACGTGCCACTGCGCCCCATTGTGAGCGCTATTAATCTCCCACCACCCTCGTCGCCCGGCCTAATGTGGCGACAAATTGCAGCCTCTGACTGACGGAACATCAAGTCAGCTGTTTAGGGAATACCGCACATCTTATTGAAATACTTAAGGAGCATCGTGTAATGACTCGGACATCCTCGTCAGCTTCGTTATGTACGTCTCTGTTCACAAATGCGTTCCGGTGGACGCAAGGCCAAGCCACTGTAAATCGCAGTAAACTTTGTTCCCGGTGGGCCTCCTAACTTTCTTCGGAATGGGGTGTCTGACTTAGGCTGAGTTTCTTGTCATCCCGTCCACTTTCCTTTCAGTACGCCAATGTAGCAACTACATGCTCAAGTTGAAGGAGCGGCCTTTGGGTTCCCACCTCTCTTCGGTTGTGGCTAACCTTCTTTAGGAGGCGTTCGAAAAACGGAAAGCCGCTGGAGAATGCCGCCTCTAAAACCAAAAACTTATGGGCTCCGGTTTTATCGTGGACGACACACTAGTGTGTGGCCCCACGGCGCTCGAACCTTAACTGGACTTTCTCCAGCACCTTTAATTTTATTCAAAAGTTTAAACGAAAACAACTTTCTGTCAATACTCGTATAGCAGTGTATCCACGATCTACATAAATGTACCAACAATACGCGATACGTATTGTAGCCGTAAACATGTATTAGTTTATATTATTGCAAACGAGCTGTGGCCGTCATTTTCGCTTTCTGTTATAAGTGAGGCGTTACAACAATGTGTTGCAACACGCAACAATGACCGGTAATTCGTATGGGATACAACATTTTGCAAATAAGCATTGTTGATGCCCCAGGCAAGAAAATGAAAATGGATACAAAAATATCATAATTAAATATATTATTGTTATACGATCAATACTACACGGTTTTTACGCGCGTTCCTCTTTATTCCCACATATTATTATGCCAAGCGAAAGAATCTATTCGTTTTTCACATTTAACTCAATTAAAGACTGCAATTTAAAAGAATGGAGTTCAGTTTCCATTGATTATCGCAACGTTTGTAGAAAATATATTTCATTTTTCTTTTCTGTAAATTACTATTTACTTTTCTTTCATGAAAATTCTTCTTGTCAGGAATTGATAATTGCATGTTGTGGAATTATTGATTTTCAAAACAAAAAAAAATTTTGTTTCAAAGAATCTCTTGTAGCGCAATTACATTTTTTAAAGATATCCATTTTGAAATAAATCTCGGGTTATTGTTGTGTTACAGAGGGAGGGGAATCCAAAATACTCTAAATTTACGTTGCGAAATTTATGGACGGCATATCAAAATGTTTCAAGATATTGATAATTTAAAGAAAGGACATTTGTTGAGTATAAAAATGTTGCAGAAACGTCATTCCCTTCTGTAATAAACAAACAAATAACTTACTAACTCGGGTACTTATTACGTATTCGAGAAAGCTATTATTTTCTTGAAAATAATCCCAATCAAAATTCTGAAGATATTTAAATATTAAAAAATACATTAAACTATTGATCACTTCCCTGATTTTACGAGCAAATGACAATAATAACAGGTACCTAATTTAAAATCTTATAAAGAAACAGTCCATTCTCGCACATTCGCATGAGCACAATTCTCCGAAAGGTAGTTTTCGAATAAGAACATAACCGAAGAACATTTCGGTTCCTATGTTTCCGGCCCCAAAAGCTTCAGAAGAGGAAAATGGACTTACAAGTCTTTGAACAACCTCTTTTTATTAATTAATGTTGTTTTATTTGCGTCAATCCTGTGACGTTTCTTCAAGGGTGGATTAATAACATGAGAAATATTAATCAGTAAAATTCAGTCCGAGCTACAGTACGTGCAGTGCGCCAATTTTGTATTTCCCGTGCGTCATAAGCTGCAGATGTTCGGCGCAGGTGTTTTCTTTGAGCGGAGCAAATCTGAACTTGATTGTCACTGGTCACTGTACTGATCAGCTGTTGGGGGAGCGAGGTTGGAGCTGTTCTCTGCTGTTCTCTTCATGAGTGTCTGGCGGACCGTGCTGAGTATAGTGGAATTTGCACATGGAGCTTTTTCTCTCTGAATGGTATTCACTATCTATATAGTACAAAACCAATCCGAAACAAATGGAGGAGTTAAATAACATGTTTAACTATGTCTATAGTTCGTCAGTGGACGCGAAAGTGCAGATTAAAATGTAAGCTTTGTGTTACAGTGACAGTTACATGCGATATAGCTAAGACAGACTCAATATTTGAATATCTGACGCTTTATTTGTTCAAAAGAATAGGTTGAAATACTCTTCTACATTCAACTCACCGTTTTAAAATAATAAATTTATCTATATCACTTCATATTTTTCAGTGGCACACTTGAAGGCAAACGTCAGAAGCCTGAGTATAATAAATTGTTAGCTGACCCTATGCTCAAGTTCTCAGGGCTTTACCAAGAAGGATGTGCAGATCTAATGGTTACATGTCAAGTATTCGCTGATGGCCGGCCCCTTGCTCTTCCTGTATCCACTTCATATAAAGCTTTCACTTCTCGTTGGAAGTAAGTAATTTATCAATAGTAATGTTTACAATTGTTTGTGTGTATCAGAAGTCAAAATAGGTAATTGTTTGTAGTTGGAATGAATGGATTACTCTTCCTGTAATGTTCTGTGATTTGCCACGCAATGCTCAACTGGCACTCACCATTTACGATTGTGTGGGCCCATCCCAAATGCATCCTGTTGGTGGCACAACTATATCATTGTTTGGGAAACATGGTGTATTTAGACAGGTCTGTGAAAATTTAATACCTCCACCTTACTTTTATTGCTACATACATTTAAATTTTTTGTTTCAATAAATGTTTTCTTCCTTTAACTTTTTGTACTATATTTATCATGTTTTTATTGACAATCTGAAGAGTTTTAATACATATTGAAGAAAAAAGATAATTTTCTATCTGTATATTAATTGTGACAAATTATAGGGTATGATAGACTTGCGAATCTGGCCGAATTGTGAAGCAGATGGTAACTATCCTACAAGTACCCCTGGGAAAGCACGTGATCATGGAAAAGAGCAGATGCAGAGATTGGCAAAGGTCTAAATTTCTTGAAATAGTTTAAGGGAACTTTGTAATAAAGTTCTAATAAAGTCCATTAAAATTTCTTGTATTCCATTACAGTTGACTAAAAGACATCGCAACAGTACAATGGCGAAAGTTGATTGGCTAGATCGTCTTACATTCCGAGAGATTGAGTTAATAAATGAAAAGGAAAAAAGAATATCTGATTATATGTACCTTATGGTTGAGTTTCCATCAGTGGAGTTAGATAGCGCTTCTGTAAGTATTTGGCTTTAATTAATAATAAATAGTCATATAAATTTTCTTGCATTTATACTTATCTTTGTTGTAGTATTCTGTGGTGTATTTTGAACAAGATGGAGATGAAATATATCCTTTTAGAGCGCAAGCTGATATTGTCACTGTGCCTGATTGTGAAATTCTACAGGTAAAAAAAAAGTTCTTGGTATTTTTAAGAAAAGAAAAAAAGAAGTGTCTGCAAACTAAGTATGTCTGTTTTCTAGACCTTTTTTGTATTCTCTTTGCTCAATATAGATTTTAATATATAATAATAATTTATAATTTTTTTTTGTTAACTCCGCTGGTTTATGTTGATCAGAAGATGGTCCCTGCCTAAACTGTTCTCTCTTAATTTTCACACACATTTGCAAATGTTACAGTATTGATGTAATTTACATAGGCAAATTTTGGAAATAAACTTGAAGTTGTTGGGAAAATTAGTGATAATGAATTATTACTAATTATAGAATTTTCAGGCTAGAAATTTGTGGTTTTCAAGGGAGATAGCAAAGAGTGCATTTAGTTGCTTGAGCAGAACCAATTAGAGTTGGGTTAAGGCGTTGCATAATGGGATGGCATTTGAAAGGTTTCTCACTTGAGCTCTCAGAGGGTGGATGGCAGCTCCTAATGCTGCTGTGTTGTGTGCAGGAAAATTTGGTAGAAAGCAAACATCATAAACTTGCCCGAAGTGTTCGTAGTGGAGTCTCAGACAAAGATGCAAAGCCAAATGCTAATGTAAGAGACACTCTGAACACAATTGTTGGCTATCCACCAACCAAACAACTCAGTACTGAAGAGCAAGACTTGGTATGGAAGTACCGATTCTACCTTAGCAAGGAAAAGAAGGTAAGCGTTCTGATAGATTTTAAAAATATTTTTGAAACTTTCAGCCAATAAGATTTTTTATGAGGTATAACTTCTGCCTAAGGAGGTATTACCATGCATTTATAAATACAAATGCAATATTAAGAATCACTCTTACTTTCATGTGTGTAGATAGTTAGGTGTTCTTACCTGGAAGTTAGTGCACCATGTTTCATAATGAACTGAGGCATGGGGTGACTCAGCCACCCCACAGTAAAAAGGACAAGAAAACAGTAAATAATACTCCTTTGTTTCTTTAATAAAAAAGTTTTGTTTAAAGAGTTTAGAACCAATGAGCGATTACTTATTCCTATGAATTTGTTTATCAAACCACCTTTACAAATGTACTTCACATGTTTAATAAACATATACATTCTCATATTGAATAGAATGTAGTTTTTCTATTTTTTTGTCACATACAGGAACTTTTCTGAACCAAGAAAACATTTTAAAATACTAAAAATGTAAAAACAAAAATAATGTAATGTAATTTCACGTCTTGTAAATGTAGTATTATAATACAAATATATTATCATAACATAAGTATGTTAGGCAGCAAGAATAGTTAATGTTTGTTGCGCACAAGTATATTTTGTTTTACAATAAACAGAAAGAAATATAAAGGATCTATGCAAAAGAGGAAACTATAGTAAAAGTGTGAATTGATATAATATAAATATGTTACAGTCAATGAAAGAACCCCTAGCACAATGAATAAAACCTACATTGGTGGGAGAGTGAAAGTAAAATTTCTTTCTGTGCATCTGGATCATTCACTACTGTAAATTGTGTGCATGGAGCAGTAACGAAAGGAGGCACAGGGTGCCTTCATGACCCCACATTGCATTACATTTCAACCAAAATATCCTTACTTCATTCATGCTTTTGGACATTACCTTCATAATTTAGTTTCACATAGTTAAAAGAATTTTCAAAACATTTACTTAAAACTTCTCTTTGATCTCAGGAAGATAGAGGTTAATTTAAATGAAATTAAAATGTATTTTGAATAGTGGCATTAATGTGTATTGTGAACTTTTTATTTTGAATGAACAATTTATCTTTCAAGGAGATTAGTTTTCTTTCAATTTGTGTAATGTTTTCCAGGCTTTGACTAAATTCCTGAAATGTGTGAATTGGAAAGTGCCTACTGAAGCAAGTCAGGCTCTTGACATGCTGCAATTGTGGACTCCAATGGATGTAGAAGATGCTTTGGAACTTTTGAGTCCCAACTTTACACATCCAGTAGTTCGTCAGTATGCAGTGACAAGACTCAAACAAGCACCTGATGAGGTGGGTTCTTAATAGAAAATAAAAATGGTCTTCAATATTACTGAATGTACTGTATACAATGGATTGCATTGTATAATAATTAAGATTATCATTTAAATTATTTGATATTCTTAATTTCAAATAAAATTCTGTTGCAAATTGCTGGGCTCAATAAAACAAGGGGCTATACATCATGGGCATTGTTCTGAGATAATGAAGGCTTATCCTAAACTTCCCTCATATAACTCATTTTTAAACTTTTAATCACAGTACACTTGCATATGAATCCATACTAGATTTTAATAACGTATTACAGTAAAAGAATATTTGTAGTTTCGTATAATGGTAATAACTCAAATTCACAAAAAAATGTGTGATAGCACTTTGATCTACAGAATCCTACAATAGTGCAGTAGTGTAGTCTTCTTTGCAACCCTCGTGTTCTATCATGAATTTATATATTCTTGGCCAAAAATATCTGAAAGTTCCTAAGGTGTGCTTAAGACTTTAATTTATGTCTGATGAATTTTGAGAAAAGTAGGGATAGTCAAACATTTTAGCATTTAAACTTTCTAAAATTTCATTTTGTATTATGTTACTGCAAACCACCAAATGCCATTATTTTTACATTTATTTTTTAATAATAAAATTTTCCTCTAATTGGGTAAACTGTAATTTGATATTTGTTCTTAGTGATTTGATATATACTAGTTACATTCTTAGTTTAAGGTGTTCTGTGTGTTGCATTAATAAAATTACTTATTTGAATTGAAATATTTGAACTACTTAATGTTGCAATAATGCTCTCTCAATACTTACTGTGTACAGTGAAGGTTTCAATGTATGAAATGTGAATAGTTCAGGTTCAAGTAGTTGCTCGTTAATTTTTGTATTAATTCCAAAATACAATAGATCTGTTTAATAGTATCTTTGTTAATAATTGGATTGTGTTTCTTCTATATAATTTTATTTTTTTGTTTCTTGATTCATGTTCATTAAATTGTCATATTTTCATTGTAGGATCTTATGCTATACTTGCTGCAACTTGTTCAAGCTCTTAAGTATGAAAATTTTACCAAAATCAAAGAAGCCTATTGTAGGCTCTTTCCCGGTCAGAATCCTCCAGAACATCCATCCCGGTGAGTATTGAAATCCAGTTATATTTATACCACTACTATTATTCAAAGTTCTCATAATATAATATTTCTTGGGGATGAAAATAGCACATTGAATGAAAAATAAATTATTTAATAATTTGTTCTAAAGGTGAAGCATATATCAGCAAAATCATTTCATTTTCATTTTTAATAAAATTTGTTTTTTTGTCAATGTGTTACTGTGGTTTTTCCTTAATATTCAAATATCTGTGTTTGAAAGTCCTTAAGGGGCAAAAATAATGGTTTTTGATCTATAGGATAATATTGCAATAAGATATTGATTATTTCTTATCTATATTTGTATTGAAATCTTTTGCATCTTAAATACATTTTAATGGTCTTTGAAAGTAAAGGTCATCTACAAGTGACTTCCTATCATGATTATATACTAACTTCTAAGTCCTGAAATACATTATGTTCTGTTTCATTCTAGGGAAGTCAGAGAGGGATCAGAAACGGGTGTCAAGAAATCCCAGAGTTGTACACCTAGTACGACAGTGACAGCACCAGCTGCTACTGAGGATACTTCCAATCCTGCCACAGATATACCTCATTCCAATTCACTTAGTGATAGTTTTATTTCAGATACCCATGATAGCCTTCCACACATGACCAGAAAGGACAGTGAGTGTGATTTGGCAACTTTCCTCATTCATCGTGCATGTCAGAATTCTACTCTAGCCAACTACTTTTACTGGTATGTAAGGAAATTTTATGCCATTAATTCAGTAGAGGGAAACAGATTCCTAATTCAGATTGCTGTTACAGGTATCTTTTGATAGAATGTGAAGATCAAGAACCTGCGGTAAAACAAGATTCCAAAGTACGAGATATGTACCTTACTGTGATGAAAACTTTTTCACAGGTAAGAACAATGCAAGCTCATGTCTTAAAATTAAAATTAAAAAAAAAAGGCAGTATTTGTTTATTAAATAAATTAATATTTGGTCTTATTGTTTTAAAGATTATAATATAATATTTGTAGATTGTAATATAATCTTATATTATAAGTATAAACATTTTCTTTAAAAAATTAAAGTGCCACTACATTACCATTGCTATTCCACAATGGCATCCTCATAATCGTGTCCTCACATCAGCTTTTCGGTGCTCCAGAAGGCTCCTTTCATGAACTGTTATTTGATTAGAAAAGAACCATGATATCATGTCTAGTTGTATCAAACTAGTTGAAGTTATCAAGCTCTTAGTCATCACTTCTGGTTCTTCTTGTATTTGAGCAGAATTATATAAAATTGACTATTCTTAATAGTTTTCAAAAGTTCACCCAGCACAACTTTTCACTACACTTCTCTGCAATATTTTGCTTTATCTATTTTTTTAATTTTTGTTGTTAAGAAGTTTTATATTAATATTCATGAAAACCCCATCAATTTACAAATGGACACAGACTAGCCCAGTTGGATTTATAATCTTGTTATATAAATGCTCCTGACAAGTTAGTATCATGCGTACTAACAGACTTTCAACACATGTCAGTTCTCATTTTGTTCATTCTATACATATATACTCTCCTTGACAAAAAGACTACATAATACTGCTTGTGCATTCCCCCACTCCTCCATAAATATTCATGGAAGCAGCATTTTCTAGACACAGAGACTAAGGCCATGGAATCTTTGTTTTTCCTGTACTTCTTCAAATTGTGTAGATATGATTATAACAATATGATTTATGAAATTTATGGTTTAACACATCTCCAATCTGCATAGACAGTAAGCTTGTTATTCACGTCGTAGGATACTCAGAGGCAGATTAACAACTTTGCCACCTGTAGGCATGCAAAAAATTGCCACCTATTTTTTCCAAATAACCCAGGAAAAAGTTATTTATAATAACAAGAATAATTTATGTTTAAAAATTGGGCTCACACATTTATGACTAAAATTAAAAATGATTTAATTAATAATTTATGCATGTCAATTTTTTTTTTATGGGATATCAATTAATATTTAAAACTCCTTTTTTTTAATGAATGTCTATTCAGAGAATTGTTAACTACATTTAAAATGTTTATTAAATTCTGGTATACGTAGACTGGAACTTATCTGTTATTTTGATAATCCATGCCAGGCATCCACTATGTTCCTCATGGGGACACTGTAACCTTTTACATGAAACACACTTCAGGATCCTATGGTCAGCAGACTCACAAGGTTTTCCACGACAAGACATGTCCATGAAAGACTAGGAACAAATAACCTTAACCATGGTTGGACTCAAACCTGTCACCCTTCGGACCGAGACGCTGGGTCTGTACAAGCTCTAGCCACCTCGGCCATACAGGAATTTTCACGCAAGAACACAATTATAACAATTTATTAAAAAAATTTCCATATTATTCCGCTAAATTTTGCTTTAACTTCAAAAACTATTTCCCTCCCCTCTGACTGCATTGAAAAACTGCAAATTGGCGCTTCCAATAATCTAATCATTTGCTAAATTATTCAACGTATCACAAGTCGTATAGCAGAAGGTAGTAGCCTCTGTTAATCAATTAATTTCCAAGTATTTAATCATTTTGTTAAGAAAAACTCGTAGAATACATATTTAAAAAAGGAAAATCGCACAAGGTAAAGAAGAGGCTCTTTAGGCGCAATTTTAGTCTACAACGTGTACCACTTTAAGCATGTGCATTCTCTGCCCACGCGTAAATACACCCCTGAGTATTCTATGTTGAGGTGTTATCAGTTATAGTATAAATGAATGTTCACTCAATGTTGGTATACATTTTTAGTTTGTCCTAATGATGTCTGAAACAATTGGTCAAAATTTCAAGAACTCCTGTGTTTAATTACAACACTTGCTAGCAAATGTAATTAACTGTTATTTTTAAAGAATTGTCAGCTAAATCTGGTTACTTTTTTATAAATATGTTTGGCTTAAATAAATTTATAAATTACTTCAAGCTGTACATTACGACCCACATTACAATCACTGGTATGACTTTTCATTGTGAATTTTGTACTAATTCATCAGTTGTGCCAAGTAAATTTGAAGATTGCTATTTGAACTTGCATTGCCTGGGAGGTAAGCATACAAACATGCAACTTGCATATGATTAGCAACTGATGATGGGATATTTTAAGAATTTGAGAATATGTGTTTATTTTCTTGTCAATGACACATTTGAGACATGATATATAATGAACAATTTGCTTGAAACAAAAGCTTATCATTTCCTCTCATGGTACAATAAGCTTTTGCCTAAAACAATATTTATGAATGTGGCACAATTTTCAACAGTTCGAATTCGTTATAAACTCTTTGCATACAGAGAAAACTGCTCAATTGAGCAGTCACTCTATTAACAGCCTCTTTTGATCTAATATTGAGGAACACTTTACATTAACAATGCGTTCTTTGATTATTCAGCAGAGAACACAATATGTTTGAAGCTTCATCTAATATACCCTCAAAAATTAAAACATTCAATTCAAATTCAAGAAACTGTGACATCTGCCAGATAAGTCAGGGAATACCAGAATTGGTGAAAATCCTGTGTACAGTTTAGGTGCTAGTATTACTCACAAATGGACGTATGTTTGCTGAAAACTTTGATATCAGGGTCCCGCAACTTTTTTCTCTGTAAAAAAAAAGATATAAAATTAAAAATAACATCAGTTCATAAGTATGTAAAAGTAATTATGAGGTTTTAGTAATGATACAAAAATTTATTAACATTAATTTTAATTTGGAAACCGAGCATTTTTTAAAATTTTGCACCACATACACATACGCAAAAATTAATTTAGAATTATATTTGTACATGTAATTATTGTTTTATTATTACACTTTTAAATTACAATGTAGTTTTATTTTCTTATTAATTTTGATTACTATGTTCATTATTTCAATGTTGTCAAGAATTCCCATAGTCTGGACATGCTTAGGGGCCCTTAAGATATTGTTACTAAATCATGAATGTATTTTTGATGGCTAGGATTGAAAATTGAACTGAATTACAGAGATCTGAATTTGTAGTATCCATCTGTTGTTTTTTGGAAAGCTTTGCTCTCATACCCAAAAAGAGTGAATGAATCTTTCATTCAGTTTAGATTATTTTTTGCCCAGAAACCAACCAATATGTTAGAATCATTTGAATAATCAAAAATGCTACAAATAAAAAAATATTTATTATAAATAGATGAATTTCTGTTTCCAAAGAAATAAGGAAAGATAAACACTTCGATGAAGAGGCAAAACTTTAATTTTTTATACTTATAAATTTGTTATACTAAAAGTTGAGTTAATGTAATCCATACATAAATTGGTAGGAAACTGAAAATAATTTTGTGAAGCTGGAAGTTTTTATTACATTGGCATTTGTTATTATGTCATTACATTGTAATTGATAAAATGTATTGCCTGGTGGAATGTGAACTATGTGATATAATTCCTTACTTCAACTCACAAACTTTGGTAGAGAGAACTTAATGTTAACAAACAAATTATTACCTGGGTTGAAAATAACACATCTATGTTGCATACTAATATTTTCTTTTGCATATCAGACGCTGTTTAAAGGAAGTCCAGATTGGCAGAAACGACGAACATTCCTTCATCGCCAACAGACTTTCATTGACAAACTGGTAAAGCTTGTCAAAACTGTTGCACGAGAAAGTGGCAATCGCAAAAAGAAGGTTTGCTGCTACTGTTTTATTAACCTTTTTCTTTCTTCTTTTCTTCACTTACTTTTGTTGTTCTTGCTGTTACTATAGCATAATATAAAACAATTAAGAATTAATAAATATAATGTCATCATTGGATAGTTTACAAATTTTTTTATTAGGAACACAGATATTTCATATTATTTTCTTATTGTTTAAAAATATGTAAATTTGCAGACTGAACGACTTCAGGCATTGCTGGCTGATGCCGAAGTCTTTAAAATAAATTTTGCCAATTTTGAAGCATTGCCTTTTCCTCTTGATCCTGACATCCTTATTAAAGGAATTGTACCAGAAAAGTGAGTATTGTGTACAGTGCAATTTAGCTATATTGATGGTATTCTTAGTGCTACCAACCAGTAGTTGTTTTATTATTTTGATTTTTGCAGGGCTAGTCTGTTCAAATCAGCATTAATGCCTTCTCGTTTAACATTTCTGACTGTTGATGAAAGTGAATATGTGGCTATCTTTAAACATGGTGATGACCTGAGGCAAGACCAGCTCATTCTCCAAATGATAACATTGATGGATAAGTTGCTTCGACGAGAGAATCTTGACTTGAAGTTAACCCCATATCGTGTTCTGGCCACTAGTACACGTCATGGTAAGTAGAAAATCATTTTAATTTTATCTTTTATTGCTCTTAGGTTATATTAGATCCTACAAAATGAATACTCGTGTAGATAATGAAAATGGTATACTTTTGTAATGATAAATTCAGTTGCTAAATTTAAGGGGGAAAATCCTCTATCACATGGCGTAGCCAGAATTCATGTTTTATGGGTCCATGATACTGAAAAATCGAATGATGGCAAAATGTCTGTCCATCCATCAACACTAGCAGTTCAACCGTTCTGCTGTTTTTTTCCAAAATTGATATTCCTGTATTGATCTGGCTGATGTCATGGAATTTTTGAGCAGAGCCATTTTTGAGAAAAGTTACATAGTAAGAGTGGCCGATAATTCTCAGAGACCACAGTCATCCTTCTTAAAAACACAATTTATATTTGCACACTTCTTAACCGCAGAATAGATGTATAGAGTTTAGAAAAAAAAAAGTGATTGATATTAACAGGTAAATTGGATGATGAAACATCTTTATATGTTAAAGGTACTTTGGAATTCTATTTGTTGTATAGTTTTTTGTAACAAAGGCCATAAATTAGAAGGTTCCTTTACAATATCTTGTTCAATTACATTTAATCAACTAATAAATTTCTTCTTACCATTATTTATGGTTTTAACTGTTAAATTGTGATCATTTTAATGAACACTCTATATTGACTATAGCTTTCATTTGGCCTTAACAATAAGATCCGGAGTTTTGTATTATTTGATTTAATATGGAGTAAAATATGACATGTCTCATCAACATCAGTATAATTATTTAGCAACAATAATTCATTCCATTTAGTAGCCACCAAGTCTTTGCTAATCATTGCATTATCTGATCTTAAAATTAAGTCAACCAGAGCTGGTAGAAATACAAAAGTATCATCTAGCGATTGTTTTACGTTTCAGGAGAGAAAAAATTAAATGTTAGTGGAGGATGATAGCTACATACTAAAGAAATTGAAGAATGAATCAGCAACAATGCATTCAAAATTTCCAATTGTAAGATTGGGATTGTTTACTAAACATATTTCTAAAAACATTACTAAACTGTGAAAGATTCATAATTACTCATAAATTGTAAAAGGAACTGAATTCTTGTGTTCAGAGAACGTTATTCTCAAGTGTGAAAAAATGCCTTAGGAATATTAAAATAACCAATCAATAACAAGCTATCAATCCCACACCTCTTTTTAATGAATGTCACGAGTATATCAAATTAAGTTCAATACTTGCGATATCATGCATCGGCAGAATATAAATAAGAATAAAATGTAATTAACTTGAAAATTCTGAGACTGATTCCATCAATATCAATAGAAATAACCCCTATCATACTTTTATCTAGTTTTAAAACAAAATAACAATATTTTTTACTAATAATAATCAAAACTTCACCAGCGTGCATTTTGAAAGTAAAAAATCCTTTTATAAATGCAAAATAATTTGAAATTATATTGTTCAATAGGATTTGTTCAGTTCATTGATTCCATTCCGGTGGCAGAGGTACTTGGAACAGAAGGAACTATTCAGAACTTCTTCAGGAAACACAACCCTTCAGAAGTTGGCCCTTATGGAATTTCTGCTGAAGTTATGGATACTTACGTTAAAAGCTGTGGTAAGGAATAAAGAAAAATGTATTGCATTTTGCTATTAGTTTCAACATTCCATTTGGGAACATTATTTGTAGTATATTTTTTTCCTTAATATGTATATTAGTGAAAAAGTTGTTTTCTTTCTTTTTCAAGTAAAAAAATTGTTAATTGGTCCAGTGCAAAATACATTACAGTGATTGATAGAAATAGTAGTCAATAAGAGTTTAACACAGTGTGTACTGAAGTGTCACACTTCTTGTCAATTTATAAATTTCTGTTAGGAGAATATTTTTTGATTCCAGCCGGCTACTGTGTTATTACATACCTCTTGGGTGTTGGTGATCGGCATTTAGACAACCTATTATTGACCACATCAGGCAAGCTGTTTCATATAGACTTTGGTTACATCTTGGGCCGAGATCCAAAACCTCTTCCTCCCCCCATGAAATTAAGCAAGGAGATGGTAGAAGCCATGGGAGGAATTCATTCGGAACACTACCAGGAATTTAGGAAGCAATGCTATACTGCTTTCTTGCATTTGCGCCGGTGAGTTTAATGTTTAGTTTGCAATTCACCATGTACACCTGTTGTAGCACATGAACATATCATAGTCATCCCAATTTTTATTCCCTATCAAAAGTAATGAATGGTCAGGGTACTGGAATCTGTACGCAGAGAAACATAGTGTTTGGAATTGTTCTAAGTGACATTATATTCCTTGACTTCTTAAGGCTAAATGGTTTGTTCTGAGGTGAGATTTTCATATTATTTAATTTCTTGTAATTTTTTAATTTGATAAATTATTATGATTTGATCATAAAATTTATTGTACAAAGAACATAGTGACTTTAAAGTGACCAAGCAAAGTGTTGTATCCACCTCATTTAAACTGATGTATACAGATTTAAAAAAAATCAATTTCACACAACAGGGTTGTTTTTTGTTACTGTTTTTTCAGAAACCAAGTGAATCATCTTTTTTTTTTTTTGAGACCAGGTTTCTTGGTTGTAATATTTTCTTTTTTTAAATACCTGAAGTTTTACATTTGTTCTGTATTTAAATCAACAAGTCCTTATTTCTCTTAACATAATACAACCTATACAAAATATTAAAAACATTCTGTGAAATATTATTTTATTCAGTGTATGGTTCAAGTACAAAGAACAGCATCACAATATCATGGTACTATAACATCACAATAGAATGCATAGTGGTAACATATATGGTGAATTCTGTCAGTTATCCATTAAATATAATAGTTGTAATGATTAGAGAACGGATTTTCATGTAAATATTTTTACAGTAGGAAAAATTATGTGCATCCAATAATTTGTTTTAGACTTTCCATGACATTAAGAACAAATTAAAACAATTTTTATTTTATATACTTTTACATGTTGTAAAGTAATTTCATACTTTACATATTAAATGTGTTACTACATATCGATGACTTAGTACACAAACATTGTATGACCACTAATAGTCATTTTTGGAGGTCTCTTGTGTAGTAGTTCTAATTTTTTTCTTCAGTGAATCAAATTCATGAATAGAAAAAACAAAAAATATTCATTTGTTTGTTTGTAGAGCCAATGATTATATGATCATACACCGTAGATATGAATAATGGCAGCTTACTGTCTTCTTAAATTTAAAAACATTTCCAAATTTCAAAATCAGAAACATTTATTTATAACAATAACTAAAAATGATAAAAATGAAAAGAAAAGAAAAAAAAGAAAGGAAAAAAATCCTCTAATCTTCTTCCTGCTCTTCCAGTTTGTAGTGTAGTGCATGTGTGTAAGGGCAGAGGTCAGGATAAAGAGAAAAAGGAAAGATCGTGCACAATTCATGGCCTATTTGTTAGGGCACTGCTTCAGCATTTTTGAAATATTGATCATAGAAGCCTACAAAGGCTGCCAATCAGAACAACCAGATGCTAGAATTCTTCAGACAGTGACTGAATTCAACCTAGCTAAGAAGCTAGTTTTAGAAATGAAGCCCTGTTGGAACTGGAACCTTAACATCTCCCAGTCAGAGTCATTGCAGAGTCAGCAGCAATGCTGCTCGTAGCTCAACTTTGCTGGTTTGATTTTCATTGATAACCCCTGAGCGTTTAATGAATTTATTTCACTTCCTCATGACTGCCTATCACAACATGATTCTTCTTTCTGTTTCTTTAGTGCATCTTCCATCTTTTGTTATTGTTACTCTAGAAATTCCACTTTTTTTTGTTTTATCTTCATCAGTTGTGTGTTATTACTTCAGGGTGGATTGTAATGAAATGTCTTTTCTTCTTTTCTCTTTAGAACAATGTCTGTTAATTTTTAATGTCTGTCCTTTAATTACTTTTATCTTATGACAAAAGGAAAGGACCTGTTTTCATTTTTTTTTAACTTTTCCCATTATTTTTAAAGTGTTTTTGGCTGATTTAATCGACTTTAATATCATTTTAATGGTACTTTCTTCACATAATATTTACAAGATGTACCAAATATTTTCCACAGAATGTTTCACTAGACCTGTTTATCCAAGAGCTTGAGTTCTGAATTGTTTTTAATTACATTTTTTACATCATTTTTCTTTGCTTTAAGGGCATTTTAAAGACATTTTAAAAGCATTTCATTCATCATTTTTGGGGATATTTTAGATTATCAAAATCCGCCCTAGTCATTAAAATGCTCTTTTTGAAGTTTAGCTTGTGTCCCGATTTCAGACTTTCTTCTACCACTCTCTGTAATAACATTTCTAGGTCTTTTCAATTTAATTGTTTGGCTGATGATTGATGAATAATGTTGATGAATTATTACACAATTCAATCACAGTCTTGTGAGGTGTTCCTCCCATGAACTTACCTTTATTATGATTTTTTTTTCCCCTCTTGGTTTGCATTGAATTGCTCTCTTTAGATCATGCACTTTATCCCACTCATCAACTTCAGCAAATTTCATGCAGCACTCATAACCAGTTCAATTTATTATTTTTATGCACAATTTGGATGTGTTTGTTCATCTCTTCAAGTTCTACTTCCTGATACTTTCCCAGGCTGTTTATTAATCTCTTAGTATACTGTCATTTCACTCGCTCTCTTTGAGATGTTTTCTTTATGTTTCATACATGATTGTTGTATTTGTTGCCTTAATCTGTCCTTGATTGTTGCTACCAGTAATTGATCTCATCTACAGACCTCATTTTTAGGTCAAGTGAGATCCTTTGTAAAGGTCTTCCATCTGCATTACATCAATCTGATTTATATCTGCTGTCTGGGGATATCCATGGGTACAAATCATGATGATTCTCCTTAAACAATTTATTTGCTATGATCAAATTGTTTCCAGCACAAAATTCAATCAAGATGTTTACATGTCATTAAATGGATGTTCAGATTACTTGAACATTTTTTGGAAATTAATTAACTAAACTATCATTAACCATAAATTTAGATAATTTGTTTGCTAAAATATAAGATGTATCTCAATGCCAGTCTTTATTTTGGGTGAAAGAGAGCCTTTAATATGCTGTGAAATTTTTTAAAATGTAAATCCAGTTTCATTAGAGATTGAACAAAGCAGAAATGTGCACAGAAAGTTGTTTGTCACAATTACTTTGTGGTTTTGCACTCTCCTAGTCCAAGAGTCTACTTGTGTTCACTCTTTCAATGAATTGTTCTGTGTTTGGAAAGGTAAGGTATAAGAAGCATTCATTGTCTCTCTGGATAGTTTGCAACAACTATTGGTCATTGTTGTAACTAAACATTTTGAATCAAGTATGAATACTGTCTCTGAATGTTGTGAAATTTGAAGAATGTGATGTTTAAATTGGTTTCCAATTCCTTTGGTATTTTCAGTAAATGTTTAGGTTGTCTTTGTTAATCCCAATATAATTTTATATAAGTTGTTGGCTATTGTTACTTAAGTGTAAACAATTTTCAGACATGCAAACTTGATGCTCAATCTATTCTCATTGATGGTGGATGCCAGTGTGCCGGACATTGCCTTGGAACCTGATAAGGCAGTCAAAAAAGTGCAAGACAAACTCCGTTTGGATCTTTGTGATGAAGAAGCTGTTCACTTCTTACAGAATCTTTTGGATATGTCAGTTACAGCTGTGATGGCTGTTCTTGTGGAGCAGTTACACAAGTTTGCACAGTATTGGCGACGGTGAGCCCCACTGCAACAAAATGCCACAAAAGGGGATTTCTGTTCTAGTCAATACAGGGTGCATGCAGGACAATCACGTGTGTATTTTATAATCATTTGTCATATGCTGCTATTAATTATGCACTTATTTGCATCCTGCTGCCCACTTTCAAGAAATGAAAGCCTATGAAAGTGCTCCAATCTTCTAAAGTTTGTGTAGTGTTTTATTCATGGATTTTTAAGATGATATTACAAATTAATGTTAAATGATTACAACAAGAGATTGTTTACTACAATGTAATTTGTAAAATAAAGGTTTTTATACTTTGTATATGTACATATGTGGTTGTAAAAAAAGTGTCTGGCAGCATTGACTTAAAGTGTAATATTATGTTGTTTAAATTACTGTGATAGGTGGAAAATCCACATAATGCACAGCATAGGTCATGTACAAAACCAAAATCACATGAAACTATAGATTACCTGAAACATATGTAGCCTTAACTTTTTTTCTTCTTGTTTGGATTTTATTTATTTTGTAACTTAAGATATTCTTGAAAAACTTGTAAGATAAAATACTTTCTGTTAGAGTAAGATTATTTAATACTCACTCAGTGAGCAGAGATGTGGTACATTTGCTGTGTCTGTTGTCTGTGTCAGAGCAATGTGATATTCTTTGGCATTTTAGATTTGGTGCATATCGATTGTGTTTTAATTATCAACTTGAACAAATGCTTTGAAAATCTTTTCAGAATTACTTCCAAATTGAAGATGAATGACTCAAAATTGTGGAAGTTGCTCGAGTTGTGATGTTGAAATTTCTATTTTATTTACATTTCATTTACATGTTTGTTATATGGAAAGATACAACTGTTGTGAAATGTTATGTAATGTTGTGCGAGTGTGTAATAATATATGAAACTTGAGTATTCATCAATAGTAACGTGTGCAGTTGTCAGTGCTGATACAACCAAACTTTTGTAAAATATATACATATTTGTGTAAAATTTTGTAAGAATGATTTTCTTTTTTTCCCTTTGTATAAACAAGAACTATCAAATGATTAAAAGAACAAAATATAATCCAAACTTCTCTTGTATTGACCTCGACTGTGAATGAGAAAAATAGCACCTTAAAGGGTAGTAATTCTATTGTTATTACTATACCATTTTACATCTTCATATTCCTCTGAAGCAATTGTAAAGTTAAATGTCAAAAGTACCAGTTTTATTTAGATTTAAAAGGTACTTAAAAAAAAAAGAGCATAAATTATAAATATTAATTCATAATATCCTACAACTACTTAAGCATTGTGTATAATGTGTGATGTATTGCATTTTCATTCTGTAGAGGTTGTTTTTTTTCAAATATCTCTCCTTTTTTTGACTTATTTATTATTAATTTTTTTATTACTTTAAAAGATGTAAGAGATCCAAAATTGAAGGGCTGTTTTCTGCATAATTTAGGGCAGGAACTATTGAAATTAATCATGTTAATTCTATCACTAGATTAAAACAATAGTAATATCAATACTTTACATCAGAAATATGAGAGAAACTAATATTTTCAGTCCATAAGCTTTTGTATAATAATTTCTAGCCAACTTTTTAAAAATAGTATTAGTAGATTTAGAAAGAAATTTATTCTGATGATTTATCATGAAAACAGTTATGCAGATCTTCGCCAGATAATTGTTTTGGTACCTTCACTGCAACTTTACTATCTGGAAACTTTTTAGGTATGGTTATGATGTTTGTTGCATTTTTTTAGAACTTATTTTTTCCTTCTTTTTTTAGTTTTTTTCTATTGAATAAGAATTCTGATTCTTCCATATCTGATCTGTTTCAAATTTATTTTATTTTGCTTAGTGAAATTAGTTTGTTTAATAAATGTGGCTTGTCTACTGTTTCTAAGGGTAAAAATAACAATTATGTACCCTGTCTTGTCATACTAATATGACATAACTGTCGCCCGTGTTCAAGTTATTTAAATTTTAAAAGAGGATTCTATTTAAGAATCATTGCAGTTTCAATGTGGGTTTCTAGATTTTCTTTTGCTGCCTGAATTTGTGAAACCTGGTACAAAGAGAAAATGAAAATGAATTAAGCATCTCATAAGATAATTATATAATGCAAATAGAAAAATAATTTAGCTGATATTAATGATCAATTCTGGGCCTCCGCTGTTTACAGTGGGAATTGTTAAATGAAGTAATGTTATATTCACTGTATAAAAAAGAAAGATTTAATCGCATATTATTGTGATGACAATAAGTGAAAATTTCTTAACTTGATTTGGTGAAATAGTTGGATAAATCACCTACATTTTAGTGTTCAATATTCTTGTGTCATTTTCAAATGTTGTGACAACTCACCACAAAAGAAAATTCTGGCTCTGGCACTGAATATAACAGACTACTTAGTTGTTAATTTTTAGGAAATCACCGCTCTGTTATTTCTCAGACTTTAAATGAAATCATGCAAATTTAAACAAATTAATAAATAAGGAGAAATCAACACCAAACATTTTTATGAATTTGAACAGGTCATTGAACTACTTGTTTAAGTGATGAACTGAGACTTAATTTCAAACATGGGTAACTGGTGGGTAGGAAGCAGGGGACACAACATTACCACCTCCTTTATCAAGTTCCTTAAGTAGTTTTAATTTCATTTCATTCTCTTACTAAAGATACTTTTTGTAGAACACTGTAATCATTATATTGATGTACTCTGTAACGTTCAGATGTGAAATGATAACACAGTGTACACAATATAGTTTTACTGTCTCATTAGTCAAAACATTTTTTAAACGCTTGGGAAAGGGGCATACTCCAGAACTGATGGGTAGATATAGGGCTATATCCACAAGACTGCATTTTTGTATCAAACAAAGAGAAATGGGAAGCAAATTTCTTTGTAGTGGTTTATTAGTTTTTGGTTGCAGTCATAAGTATCGTCAGTATGTTATAAATCTTGAATTACTGCATTATAACCTGACTTTTTTTTATTGCATGTACCTTGTTGACTTTTAAGTTTTTTCAAAATATCATTGCTTAAATTAAAAATCCTTAGTGACACACTGTCTTTCATGAGCCACCATTTTTTTGTGCTAGAGGCATTCCAAATACATTTCACTAATGGAAACCCTTGTGATTGAATTGCATGGGAAGTTTAAAGCTGAATTCTTTTGCTTGTCAGGATAATATCTCACTTAATCTACAGTCATCTATTCAGGTAAAGGAAGGTATTCTGTCTGTATTGTGCCTTCTACCTAGCCTTGAGTGTCATGGCCAACTTACCCTGCCACACCGTGCCACACCTTGTCCTGTTGCTCCCCACCCCACTCTGCCCCTTGCCACTGGCATCACCCTCTGCTGCCTTGCCTGGCCCCAATACTACCTGCCTTACTGCTAGGTTGTGAGTGATGTTGGTTGACATTTCAAACAAAATATTTTGTCACATTATTGCTTATATAACAGACACAAAACTGTAAACTACACGTGAAGACATCGAGGTCTTCTGTCATTCAAAAGATACCTTGTTTGTTGCAGTTGGCTGAGTAGTCATCCTAAAAAGGGATGTTTATATAACACATTATAGAAATAATATCTATGGTATTTTCATCCTTCTGCCTTAAACATTGTTTATTTTTATAGATAGAAAATCTTAATCAGATCGTTGAAAGGAATTGTTTCACAGGCTGTCATTTAGCATTTGGATGGTTTTAAGCTGATTCTCTCTCTTTGGGGGGGGGGGCTTTTTCTCTTTTCCCACTATCATTCTGACCCCTACCTATCACATATGTATTTCACCCACCGCAGCCATTGCTTATATTGGATAATGTAAACATTAACCATCCAATTCAGGAACTAGATTGAGGCTTCAGTTCGTAGTCAGTTTTTGGCAGTATCAATTCACTTTTGAAAAATTTTTTAAACATAAGAATAGACTTCATTTTTTTTAAGCTGCCTCCCAAAAGGAAATTCAAGTTCATTCTTACATTTCATATGTTTTGCTTTTAAAAAACTGAAATTATACTGCTCAAACTTATTAGCTAAAGTCTGAAACCAATTCCTACGTAAAACTAGAATCATAAAATATGAACTTGGATTTTTTTCAGCCACCTCCTGAAGTTAATGTTTTGGGCTTTGATGCAAATTTTAGGTACATGCAAGCAATGCAAATCAAATTTTTGAGCATGTTAAGTAAATGTGGCTAGTTAGCTAAGTGGTTAGTTAAATTTGCTTCATGTGAAATACCCAGCTGAAGCATTGAGAAAGATATTTCATTTTGCAAGTCTTATAATTTCTTCTTTAGCAATTTATATCTTCATCACTGGCAAAATCAATTGGAATTTGTCAGTGATGAAGATACGCAAGTTTTTGATTGATCCCAAATGATTATGTAATTGTACAATTTCTCTCGAAACACAGTAATTTTTACGCCAATAAAATTGCTTACTGCCTTGAAACTTGCTGGAAACTTGACTAACGAGGAAACGGAAAGGAATATTTAAAATGACAGTTTTAAGATTTCTAGATAAGACAGAAAAAAAATATTGTTGCACTTGTAAGTGTGGTAAAATTGTACCTCTAGACACTCTGAGCTGTACTTGTCCATTCGCTTTCTCAGCTACCCTTGTCCAAATATTTTATTTCCCACACTACTTGTGTGAAAGCCACTGTTTATTTGTAATTGTACTGACCTTCACAAGCTTGTGTGAAAGAGATGCAAAGAGTGAACCTTCCTCAGTTCTTGTAATGCACTCTTTGTGTTCAGTGGTTCTAAACATGTATGGTGTTCAGTTTGATGAGTTGTATATGTTGTGTTAATCAAGTGTTTATATCGTCAGGTGGCAAATTGAAAATGTGAACTCTTGGTGAGAAATTAGACTAGTTCAACATGAACAAAGCAACTCTTCTGGCAACATTTTGATAACAAAATTTAAAATTGGGAAAACTCTAATGTATGTCACCTTAAAAACGAAGGTATAATCAAGAATTAAAGGTTAAAAGGATTTTTTTTTATTGGCAGTTGCCACTATATTCACAAGGACCTAGGCAAATGGCCAAAGTCTAAATCATCAGATGAATTTATCTGTTCCTACAATATTGAAGAAAATATTGATTTATTTACGTTTTTGGAGTTCTTTGTTTCATTGGACTTCATGTTGTGTTTCTGTAAGACATTTTCTTTGTCTCTACTGAAATGTTGTTCTTTCTTAGAAATGGTTTTTAGGTGAGATAAACTACCCATACAATGTACCTATTCCATCTTTGAATGATTGCGTTTTCTGAATTGCAGTTTTTATTGCAAACTTGAATAATCCAAAAGAAAATGTTGGACCGAAACGATTCCAGCTTAAGTTTTATTGGTTTGGACTTTTTTTTACGTTATGGCATGTTAAACTTTCATGTAGGCTACTGATGTGTATAATGTAATATAAGTGTGTGTAAAAATCATGGAAAATGATCAGGATATTTTGTATGCATAATATAAAAATAAAGTAATGTTATACAGTTAAAAATTTAGCTAAAAAATGTGTTGAGATAGTTTTTTTCTAAAAGATGGGAACAGAGCGAGAAAACAATACTGTTACAGGGGCTATCAAAACAAAATTTTTTTGGGAATTGCAGTTTTTCACAGAAAGGGTGTGGAGTCACAAAATTTAACATTTGATTTATTTTTATCGAAATAAACTGTGAAACTGTGTGTGATATATGGGGGGAAAGTATAACTGAGAATGTTTTCTTGAAATCAAGAATCTCGTCCCCATCCTTTTACTTACATGTAGTTGAATGATGAATAAAAGTACCATCAAGTGAGGTTAGCAACATTTGATAACTCGAAATTTTTGCACCCAAGTTATCGAAAACTTATATGCATCAGTAACTTCAGATCTGATTATATAGTATTATTAAGAAAATAGCCAACCACACCAATGCTCTACTCCTACCACACAACTTGCAAAAGGAGAGTTTAACAAAATACTGTATGTGCATAGAGTCCAAAAGTAAATTGAGGGGCCATCTCAGCATTTGCTCAATGGTTCAGAGAAACTGGATGAAAAACCTGATCAAGATGTAGACATCATGAGATATTTCTCAAAAAATATTTGATACGTTTGTTTTGAAGCATCTTTGGAGAAATCCTCAGAACATCCTTAGAATAGGTAAATGTCCTTAATTGCAGTCAAAATTTTTGTGATATATGATGGTCATTAATTGAAATAAATTCAAAACTTCTTAATGCAGGAACATTTCCAGATGTTTTCAAAATCTGGATCTGGAAAGATCTTAATATTAAATTACTGATTAAATTACTAAATTTAAATATTAATATTAAATTACTGATTTACTATATTACTTTTCTAATCCACTTATGCTTAAGGTTAGTTTCTCTTAGATTTTAATTTTTTTAAATTTACTACAAATGAAATTTATTTATTTGGATGAAATGAATATTTTGAGATAGCCCCAAATGGTGGTAAATTAGCTCAGATTACCTGAGCTAATTTACCACCATTTGGGGCTGTAATGGCTACCTATGGGGTAATAATAAGCTTTTCTTCAAAATTATTGGGGAGAATGTCATAGAATCAATCAACTTCTATATTTTAACATTTCTTGAAGTCAGGGAGATTAATGAAAGTGAGAAGGTTAAATGAGAATGACATTATCAACAACAACAACAACAACAAAATTGTAAAATAGCTCTTGAATACCACTTTCCTCTCTCTTTCGATAAGACTTGACTGAGTGCCATGGACAATGTTCTTAAGAAAATTTACTAAAAAAGAAGTTCTGTACTGAACTGAAGAAGAAAATGTCAGCAGGTTATTGCTGTTATCCTACAATTTAAACTGTTAAAAAACCTTGAATTGAAGCATAAGAGACAGAATGGTTCAACTGATATTGTATTACAGTTTAAGTAATGTCATTCGAAGTGTAGAACATCATTAAGAAAAGAAAATTTGAAGAAGTATGTATCTGGTTATGTGTAATCAATGAGTATTTCTCAATAGTAGCAATTCTGTGCTGAGAATGATGTAGTTGATTGGATTGGGCTCCTTGTTTTCACCCCTTATCACCCAAACTAAGAAAGCCCCAAATGCAATCACTTGGTTACTTAATTTTACCAACTTTCAGGCCAGTATTGTTGGCAAGCCCTTATTGGTCTCAGTGCATATTTTCTCCAGTTCAAATGTGGCTTGAGACAGTGCTTGGACAGGCTTAATTGTAAGAAGCTTCTCATACTATCCCTGCAAGCTTTGTTCACATCTCTGTCTACAGTCTGGGGAGAGGATAGTTCTACCCATGTTACACCAGGTAATTGCTGCCAACAGTTACAATTCTATTCCTATGACTATTTGTACACTATTAATATAATAGGATGGATAACAGATGAATAATCAAATAAGAGAATGCAATGAATAAGTATTTTGTATCATAATATTTTAATTAATGAGACATGGTGTTAAAGTACTACTTCTTCTTCACTTCAAGGATTAGGTGGGTGCCTGTGCTGTCTTCACATATCAAATCATCTTCTGCATGGTCTTCCTACACTCCTTCATCCTGTTTGCTTGCACTGCAGCACTTGTAGTAGGTAGCCTACTGTGCTTCTTTCTAAATGTTTTTTCCAGTTTTGTTTATATAGTTGCATACAATCATTTAGACTAAATGTATTTAATTCATTTCTTATATCTTCTTTTCTTTGTTTATCTAGCAAAGTACAACCTTTTACTCTCCTTAAAAATTTCATCTCTGTAGCTTGAATATTCATTTTTTTCATTTTGAGAGAGAATTCAATTTTCACTCTCATATGGGCCATTATTTTATAAAAAATTTTTTTAATTTATATTTTTTAGTTTTATTTCTTAATGTTCTGTGTAGCAGGCCACGTACATTTTGGAACTTGATCAATTTATTTTCTGTATCTTGGCTCCGGTTGTAATATATCACATCCCAGATATTTGAAATGTGATTCTTGTTCTATTGTTCAGTTTTCCAGGCATATCTTCGTTCTAATTGGATAAGCTCCTTTAAAAGCCACGACCTTTGTTTTTTGTTTTGATAATTTCATGTTCTAATTTTTACACATTAGATTTAATTGATGGAGTGCCATTTGGATATTATTTTTAATTTCATACATAATAACTTGGTCGGCAGCAATTGTAGAGTATTGACGTAAGTATTTCTGTTCAATCTGATCCCTTGTTTTACCTTTAATTTCCATTCTCTAAGAATGTCATCTATATAGATGTTCAATAATATTGGGGAAGGGCTGCAACCTTGTTTTAATTCTTGGTTAGTTTTTAATGGTTGTGATTGATGTGAATTTATTTTTATTCAGATCTTTGCATTTTTATAGACTTTTAACTACATTTATTGAATGTTTTAGAAAGCCTCTTCTATCCATTAGGGCCCATTAGACCCATCTTCTCCTGACTGTTACTCATCGAAGGTTTTTTCAAAATCAAGGCATGCAATGTGCATGTCTAAATTAAGCTCCTTTTTTTCTCTATTATTTGGTTCAATATTAAAACATTATCTGTGAAGGATTTTCCCTTTCTGAAGCCATTTTGTTCTTCTAATAATATAACTTCAGCTATCGTCTTAATCCTCTTTGGATCATTCTACTGCAGATTTTATATGTTGTGTTTAAGAGGCTAATACCTCTATAATTTCCACAGCTACTTCGATCCCCCTTTTTAAACACAGATATTATTAGGGCTGTTTGCAATTCTTCTGATATTGTACTTCTTAGCCAACATTGATTGTATAGATGTAACAGTCTTAAATGGAGAAAAGTGCATCCATATTTTAGAAATTCTATGTTTATATTATCTATACCAGTAGCTTTTCTACATTTGATTTCTTTTAATACTTGTAACAATTTGTCTGTTGTTTGTGGATCAATATTATCTTTCTTTTGTTCATTTTCTTCCATTGGGTTGAACCATAGATTATTATATGTTGTAGCCATCTCTCTTCTTCTATAATTTTCAATTGAACAGTATCTTTTTCTTTTTGATTGAGTTGTCTCATTACTTTATAGGTTAGTTCTTGCTTCCCATGAATATAATTTTCTATTTTATTTATGAAGTGATCCCACGCCTCCTGATGTGCTATACAAGATAGCCTTTTGGCTTCATTTCTATAACAGTTATATTCTTTCTTTGTTTCTTTTTTTCATGTTTGAAGATATTTCAAGTATGCTTTCTTTTTGTCTGCCACTGCTTTTTAAGTTGTTCATTCCGTACTCTTGAGTCCTTTCTTTTTTCTGAACTTCTTTTTCTTTCCTAGGCTTTCAAAAGCTGCTTTTTCTATGCAGGTTTTAATATTTCCCATTCTTTCACTACTTGTTGGTATTTGCCTGTTTGGTTTCACGCTTGTTGATATATTTTGAATTATTATCTAGTCTCTGTTTGATATAGCATTTTAATACTCTTTCTCGTAGCAGATATACTTTAAAACCTTCTACAATGTTTTTATTTTTGGGACTTAGATTTTCCATTTACTTGGTAATTTAATAGTTGAGACAACCAAATTGTGATCTGAGTATATATCTTTGCCTCTATAAACTCTTGTACTTGAATTAAGGTTGATATTTCTTCATAAACTATAATGTAATCTACGAGTGATCTCCATCCTCTAGCAATTCTAATAATTCCATGAATATCTTTAGTCTAAAGAATGTGTCAGTATTTTTAATTTATTATAGGTGAAAAATTCATTATTTTTATACATTATTATTCATTGCCTGCTCCCAAAGGTCCCTACTGTCTCAGGTATTGGTGTCTCCAACTCTTGCATTTAAATCTCCACTAATATCAAATGATCTCTGTTATTAATTTGGGAATAACTTTCTGTAGATTTTCGTAAAAAGTTATGGTTTCTTCTTTTTTTCCCATCTTGTGCAATACTGCGACAACATTTAGATGTCCTCTCTCTATTTATTTACAGTTTGTTATTCTTTCATTTACATAACAATAACTTACTATTTTAGAGGTCCATTTCCTATCAATCAGTATTGCTACTCCACTATTTGCTCCTTGACTTTGGTCTACTCCAGAATAGAGCATTGTGTAATCGTCAAGATCTTTAGTTCCCTTAAGCTTTTTCTTCGTTTGTGTTAAAACAGGTATATTAATGCTACATTCCTTTAATTTGTCATCGAGTTCCTTTCCTTTGGTACCTAAACCTCTTACATTCCATGTGGCTACTTTTAGTCTATCCTTTATTGCGAATCACTTGTCCTTTTCTTGTTTATGTTGTTGTATATGGAATTTATCCGGCTTATCTATGTTAAGATTTTTAGTAATTGAAATGTCCCCTGACCGCGTTGAAGCACCATGTAGGGTAATTCCAGCAAGCACTATGCAGGGTAGTGGGGCTGCCACTTCACTGCTTCTGAGCCAGCAGGATTTGATATCAGGGTTATCTCGCTTAGGGAAGTCTGTTTCACCCTACCCTTTGAGGAACCTTCTTCTGCCAGTTTTGTCTTCTCTTCTTCAAGGAAGCCGCTGTTGAGGTCTTCTCATTTATATTCAAATATCCGATTCAATAAAATTCAAAAATAAAAATTGTAAAAACGGTAGGCAAGCAAAATTTATTGTATACTTTAGCAAATAGAACAGTAAGGAACAGCAAAATTGACAGAGCTCAATTAATTTGAAAGCAGCAGGAGGCAGCTCTAACAATCGTTGCGATGCTTGTAAAGCTTATACCAAGCAAGATCAAGGTTTTTGACCAGACCACGCTGGTTGTGAGGAGTGGAGGCAGCAAGAAAACTTGCATGAATAGTAGACAGCCCTATCCACAGTAATGCTGATGCCCTTTGTAATGCTGATCCTCATTCAATCATCTTACATACATTTTCTGAGGTAGAGATGGAAATTAGGGCAAGGATTCATAGTTTAATGGGGGAATGCATACCATACTACATCAGAACTGAAAGTATCCATTCTCGGTATTTGAACCCAGTCTTGGTGTAATAAGAACTTGTGCCCAATGCCCCAAACTCCTGCCCCATCAGGCTGTTTTAAATGATGTAGACTAAGTAATAATTAAGAATGCATTGTTTCATATGGATCAAAATTCTCTCGTATGAATTTGAATTACATGAAATCTTGTTTACTACAATACTGTCACTTGATTCTTCTGTTTACAAACTTGTTTTAATGATACATTAAATTTGGATAACAGAATGTTATTAGGAACCGCCCCCTCCGCCTCTGGCCTTTCACCCTGCAGTTCATGATGATGAGAATTTTATTAAGTACACACAAACAAAAACTCATAAAATTTACAAAAGAATATATTTATTGCAGTCTCATGTTAGTGTAATTTGAATTTATACATATTTTAGTCAAATCTTTATTTATATTTGTAGGAAGACAGATCTGATTATATTTTGCAATGAGGAATTGAAAAAGTCTCCCTGTTAAATCAATTAACGTATGTTATTGCTTTGTTCCTCACAATCTTATTAAAGCTTATTTTCAAAAATAGGTGCATTGCAAGGTAATTATTGTTCATCATGAGCAATTGTTGCACTTCACATTTAGAAATTTAGCTATTTTTCTGAGGTATCTTTACAATAACAGTCTTCACTTCTGTGTATGCTTCCAAACCATACTCTCCAAGTTCTCTACCATTGCCAGACATCTTGAAGCCTCCAAAAGGTGCTTGAGGATTGATTATGTTGTAGCAATTGACCCTGTTTGACAAAATTTAATTATTAAAATCTTAGATGTTTGATCACAAAATTTATTTATCAAATAACATACCATACGGTGCCAGCTCGTAGTCCTTGAATAATGTGGTTGGCTCTATCAATGTCCTTTGTAAATACAGCAGCAGCCAATCCATAATCAGTCTTATTTGCCCTCTCCAGGACCTCATCCAAAGATTTGAAGCGAAGGATTTGCTGCACTGGCCCAAATATCTGAAAATGAACAGAACCCTATTGATTAACATATTACAAAGAATATCTTATTTTCAAATAACAATGAACATATTTAATGAATTCAATTTTATGATTTTATACTGGCAATATTTTTTTCAATTCTTTAAAACATTATAATTAATCATCTTGAAAACTTCAAAATTGTGTGGTATATCTAGATGTAGACAAATTGGATGTCTACAAACCTCTTCTCTTGCAATAGTCATATCATCCTTAACATCTGCAAAGACAGTGGGTTGAATGAAGTAGCCTTCTTTGCCATGTGCTGATCCACCAGCCACAAGCTTGGCACCATCTTTTTGTCCGCTCTTTATTAAACCCAAAATTTTATTATACTGCTCGTTGTCAATCTGTAAACATCATGTTCAAATTACTCGGGATCTTTCAACATCACTACATGATAACTCCTCAGTTATCCAAACCGCACAATCAAAATGTGATGCATCCTGTTTTGAGACTGCTAAACAATGGTGAGTCTAGTTTTAATTAAAAACAAACTTTGATGTCTCATTTAGATAGGATGTGTCCTCTTGTGTAAAGTGATAAGTATATCAAACTGTAATTAGGACACCATAATGAATTAACCTCAATTTCATTTCAAAAAATGGTTTGTCTGATTTTGATAACAAATGACTTGTGTATTGAATTACACTATCTGCAAATGAATACTATGTGCATACACAACTTATATATTACACTGATGTACTTTGAACATTTGTCACTTTTTAGCACTGAATTTAACCCACAAGTGCTTGCAAAAGATCTGTGACCCACAGTAATTTTATGTTCCTGAATTATTGCAATGCGTTAGTCGTCTGATATTTCATGTATTCCTTCATTTCACTTTTCCAAGAACACCTAGCCTTCTATTTTTATCCTTTCGTTGAATCATTTCCTGCGAGTATGTTGAAACTTGATCACTGCCCTGCATGACATCTGTCAGATACATTGTGTGCAATGGCCCCAATGTATTCGAAGCTCCTGGCGTAAGCGGTATGTGTCATGGCATTTATTTTCAGCCGGGTCTATGAAACGTGCTGACAGAAAACGTAATCATTTGTCTCATCTAGGATTGACTGTCACAATTTCTTCTCAAAGAAAAATATTATGTGCAGGAGACGACTGTTACGAGGTGAAAAAAAATGCGAACCTTGCAAAACAAAAACTAGTCCGACTTTCTAAATATTTTTTTAAACAATTTAAAAATATGTATGTGTAGAACATGCCAAAATTATTTGTGGAAATTGTTTTCTATTTAATGAGATAATAAGATGTTTAATGATTTTTGTGTGTTCTTTGTCAATTTTTACTTTTCTTACCGTAAGTATTTAGACAAGAATTCTACAGTGTAGGAATGATTATCAATGGCATCGGGGACATGTATAGTTTGTACATTTCAATAAATAGAGCTTCAAATCATTTGCATTCACAAAAAGTTTCAACTATATCTGAGAGATACAATGCGGGCACTGGCATGAGTCTACCTACTGTGGACACTCCCTAGTTAAGTCACAAATGCTTCATTCAACTAAGTATTTTACCTGAGGACCTTGTTCTACAGATAGGTCAAAAGGGTTGCCGATGGTTCGCTTCTTTGCTCTCTCAGCACTTCTTTCTACGAATTCATCATAAATTGAATCTTCCACAAAAGTTCTGGAACCAGCACAGCAACATTGGCCCTAAAAATGGGAGAAACAATTATCATAACAGAACATGCAAAGTAATTTGCTGGAATGATCTATCACTACTACTGAACTTCCTGAGCAATTACATCGATTGATTGGTGTTTCCAAGCACATCAACTGATATGGTCATTAACCTGGTGGTGTAGGGATTCTTTTGTCCTGGGAGGTGGTCTTTCCCTGATGGATGGTGAAATCCAGTGTTTACCAACAGGTTGGTTTGCAGATTTCCTCTGTGAATCTCCCCTAGTGTGGAACTGTCCCAGTAGGAACAAACTCCAAGCTCCTGACATAAGTGGCAATGAAGTGCATGGAAGTGTGTGTATGCGAGTAGAAGTGGGAAGATGATAGAACAAGAAAGGAGAAGGAAAGATTGCAGGTCCATGGCCTGTGTGTTTGGATACTGCTTTGGAATTTGCCTGGAGTCATCAGAGAAATCATGGAAGAAAACTGATCAGAGCAGCTGGCCATTAGAATTCTCCTCCAGACAGCAGTTAAATTCAACATTGTTAACTAACTAGTATCCAAAATTCACCACATTCAAACCTTTGAACCTAACTCAGCCCATAGCAATTGTATTAAGTGTGGAAATAAGTTTATTGCTTCCTAGTAAAATTATCTGTAACATACTCTTAAATCAAAGAAAATGCAGGATGAAAAGTGCCAAACCAGAGGAACTTTTTGATTCTCTAGAAGTAAAGCCAGTTGTTGAATACAAAAGCTGAGAAGAATCAAAAAAAAAATGTTCTTCTCTGATCACACTTGTTGCATTCCAAGAGTAATCAGAGGAGAAAACAAACAAAAATTATGAAAATACTAGATGGCGATTCATAATGCCTTTGGAAGGATTTTTTTGTACCCAATAGTGCTCTGGAAATGAAAAATGGATGTGACAATCCTAAAATGAATTTTAAATTATGTTTTCAAGCATTCAAAATTGTATTTAGTTACTGAAGTTACCATATTAAAAAACAATCCAAAGTGTGCCTGCTCCACTGCATAATTCATGTCTACATCACCAAGGATGATGTTTGGAGATTTTCCACCCAGTTCCAAAGTTACTCGTTTCAAATTTGTACGCCCAGCTCCCTGTTGAATTAATTTTCCAACCTACAAAGAAGAAAAATTGTTTGTTTTTAAAAATATACAGCTTTGCACATTAATAAATTACGTGGGTGCACTGAGAACTCACTTCAGTTGAACCAGTGAAGGCGACTTTATCAATATCAGGATGATTGACAATAGCTTCTCCAGCATTGCCAAATCCTGGCACTATGTTCACCACTCCAGGGGGAAAGCCAGCTTCTTTAACCAGCTGAGCAATGTACAAAGCAGTCAGAGGAGTCTGCTCAGCAGGCTTCAGAATGACAACATTTCCTGTACACAAGAGACATTCATGATTACTAAAAAGTTCTTGAATTAATCCTTAAATCCACTAACTAGTGTTGAATGCAATACTGATATTGCATTTTGTCTTTTGAAGCATCCATACTTTAAAAAGAAAGCTTACTTATATTTGTTTACCCCTAGCTAGTGGTTAACCATGCAATAAGTTCTTCCTTCAGGTGTCTCCCCATTGTGAGCACTTTTTGTAACAAGCTCCACTCCAGTGTTGTTTTTGACCCCATGTGTTCTGAGGTTTGTGCAAACTAAACTCTTTTATTATAATGCTGTGTATTATGTGAGCTACTCTTCTTAAATACAAAAACATTAATGACTTAAATATGTGGTAACACACTTATTTTAATGCTATACAGAGAATGTGCAATTTTCTGAAAATCATTACATTTTATTTCTTTAATTATTATTTTTGTTTCACAACACCGAGTTTTATACACATTTCTACTTACCAGTAGCAAGAGCTGGGCCAAGTTTCCATGCAAGCATCAATAATGGGAAGTTCCATGGGATGATTTGACCACAGACACCAACAGGCTCATGGCGAGTGTAGGAAAAATATGGCCCATCCATAGCAATGGTTTTTCCGTGGTTCTTGTCAGCCCAACCTGCATAATAGCGCAGGACTTTGGCACTGGCAGGAACATCAAAAGCCATTGCATTGGAGTAGGGTTTGCCATTGTCAAGTGTCTCCAAACTCTAAAATGACGTTAAATTGTCTTGAAAGAAATACCATCACTTTTTATAATCATCAGTAATAAAACAAACTTCACCTACTGCTAGGTAAACACTGTCACGGTCGATGAGAGAAGCCAGCCTGTTAAGGAGAACCCCCCTGTCAGAAGCATCCATCTGCCTCCATGGACTTCCAAGCTTAAAAGCTTCTCGAGCAGCTTGAACTGCCACATCAATGTCAGCCTACAACAACAAATGGAAACAAGTCATCTATTATATAAACGTGAAGTTGTTTACAACTGTATACATGAGAAAAAAATTAGGACCACCGGAGAGATTGCTCCCAAATTTAGCACAAATACTTTTGAGCAATGATACATAACATAGTTGCAATTCAAAATAATACCCCAAATGTGTGTGCATGTCTCTTCTGTGTTTAAATATTTCAGAGCCTTGTAGGCAATTGCCATGTAGGCTTTGAAGCAGCTATATGTTGTTCCACGTGTTCTCTTGAGCACTCGATTAGAATAATCTCGTTGCAGTAACCAACAGTAGTCAGCCAACATTGATGAATTCCATCGCTCTTGGTAATGCCTTTCAATGTCTTTAATATCTTGGTGAAATCTTCCACCTTGTTTGTCACTCACTGCTCTCAAGGTTTCTGGAAAGCAGTCTAAATGGGAGTGAAAGATATTTATTTTCAGACTCGTGTTTCATTCTAAGGCTTATTTTTTCAGCATATTATTTACATAATAACCATAGTTTGGATTTTCATATTCTTCCAATAACTTATGAACTACTTCTTTGAAACCAATCTAAGCTTTCCTTTCTGGAGGTGTCATACATTCTTCAAAATCAGCTTTAGCTAGTTCCCTGATCTGCGGTCCTACAAAGATGCTTCTCTGCCTTTCCTTCTGAGAGGGTGGGAAATTTGTTTGTTAAGTACTTAAAATAACGTGTAAGGAAGGTAACACAATTTTGTTAGGATCTACTAAGCTGTTTTTAATCATGTTCTTGGAACCTCGAAACAGTATGTTTCTTCTAGGCCCTTCTCATGTTGTCCAATGTTTCTTTCTATCTCAGCTGTCCCATTCACAAATGTGACTCAGGTACTTGGTATAATCCTGTTGTTGTCGTAACAACATGCACAAAACCTTTATATCACTGCAGATCATCCATTTATATGCCTCATAATTTACCTTTTTGAGTAGCAATTTAAGAATGTTATGTCTCCTTAAGATGGTTGGAATGTGCGACTGGTACAGTGTTACCAACACCTCTTTTAAACTTCATTTGCTTGAATCAATGAAACATCCAACCATCTGTTTTATACTCTCCTAACTTATTAATGAAGTTTGGAATAAGAGTGCAATAAACTAAGTTTTCCTGATTAAAAACCATACTAATCTTTCTCTCTATGGCTGTAAACTGTACCATATAATTCTGGAGCTAGAACATTCTTTTCTTTCAGACGTGAAGCTAAAACTCCAAAAGCATCCTTTGAGATATTTAAATCTCTGACCAAATCGTTCAGTTTTGTATGTGTTAAAGGTTTGGGTTTGTGTTCGGTGCTTGTACAATCAGATTCTTCAGCTGACTTGTTTGGCGTTGAACTTGAATCAGAATGCAGTACTTCGAGGTTCGAAAGATGTTCTAGCACAGAAACATCAGTGCCATCTTTGTATTGAATCATTTTATTTTGCAAATGAAAAAATAACAATCGTTTAGATGTTTTTTTGGCTCGTGCCACACCATAGTAACTAAAAAACTCCGTGCATTCCACTTTCCTTCGACCAGTTTCTTAACTCTGCCACACAAACACTGCACACTTTACAAGGAACCATGGCGTATCCTGATCCCCCAGTTTCATGTCAAAATAAGCATTAGAAACACTTCTAACAAATGAGGTTATATTCTGTCTCTGTTTTGCAATCATAAAATGTCCACAAATATAACAAAATGTATTTGGGTCATTCATACACTTTCTTTGCATGGTTATAGCACAACAAATATTTAAACAAATGAACTAGTTCTTCGAAACTATGCTTGAGATGCATTTGAATATCTTAGTCAAAACTTGTTGATTTAACTTTTGCACAGTGTCTGCTATTATAAGCATGGAGTTACGTTTACATCTGTTCATATAGAATACTGTAGTAAGCTGCCGTCTGTTGTGTTCTGTTACAAAATCATGCAAAATGAACTGACATAATCAACTAATTATCACAAATAATATATATTTGTATTTCTAATGTGTATATTTTTAATATCTTTTTGACCACAATTACTGAAATTATTAAAAATTGTGATTTGATAAAACAAAAGTAAGGGCATTATTGGATCCAGGTGACCATCTTACATATAAGACGAAGAAGTGTAATAAGAAGAATATACATATATTACATATAATAAAATTATATGAAATTACATATAATAATAAGAAGTCAAAATCAAAAAAAGGAAATCCCCATGTTGACCTGTGTTATCCATAATCTAAAGTTTATAGTTTGATTGAATTGTGGAAATAGTGATTAGGTGTTGATGTAATTAAATGATGAAATAATTGAAGACTTCTTCTTCACCTTAATGTTATTACATTAAGTTGAAGAAGATGACTTCAATTATTTCATCATAGTTAGATTGAACAAACAACTTAAAAATCTATTTTGTACTCCAACATTTCTTCCAATTTAAAAAATAAAGCCTCACTAGTAAAAATAGGTTGCCTGAAATTTCATTATGGAGAAAGAAAGATTGTAAGTTTATAAAGAACACTAATTATTTTGTTGCCAATTGTTCTCGTTACATTTTAATTTATAAAATTTAATATCTCATTTACATTAGTTATTTCACCCAAAGAACACGACCTCCATTCTGACTAGGTCAGCATACTAATCCAATAATATTGAATTAACTACTGATTTAGTACTAAAAATTTCTATGAAGACAAGTCAACAGACGTCCACATATCAATTCAATCAATACACATTTCCTCAGCTATAAACACCTGTATCTTACTCAGAACATGAAAATATTCTGGATTAATAACTAACTTTATCTGTCTCATTGCTCATCTTCACAAAATGCAACTGAAAAAGGAATCAAAGGGATGTACTTAACTGACGGTCTCCAAAACGATGATTTCAGAAATTTACAATGATTTTTATTTTATTTTTAGCTTGGAATATTCACCAGATAATTTGTCATAAAGGTATAAGCACATTTCTAAATGCAGAGGGAAAGCGAAGAAATTCTATTATAAAGCTCCATGGTAGTATAAATTTCAAACTATTAATTCAAACTAGGGAGTCCATCCATCCAAAGCAGGCCAGATGAGCACAAATGCAAGAAGAAAATCGAAAAGTAATGGAGGTTTTCAATACATTGAATTTGTTGACCATTACATAACTCAAAGATAAATAATGCTCCACATGTGTGTTGCCAAACTTTATTCTCCAGATACAATTTATAATGGGAATAAATGCGAAGCTTATTGCGGCGCATGATTAACCATACATAATGGTACGTACATCTGCCATGCAAAGTGATATGAAAAGATCTAAAACATGCCATCACGATTTCTTGTTACGTAATACCTCGCGACATGTCAATCCAAACCTTATCGACTAACAATTCAAATACTGTCAATTTTAGAAATCCGTTTTCGCAATTGTTCATGAAATCCATGATTTTAGTGGTAATGTAATAATTATCTCACCTTTCCTCCCTCTTGAATTTCAGCAATAGGTTTGCCGGTTGTGGGATTAATCGTTTGGAAAGTTTTCGACGACTTCGATTTATGCCATTCATTGTTAATAAATATCTAAAACAGAAAATACATGAGTACACTAACAGGTATGGTTTATCATTTCAGTGCGATTCTATATAATACACAAACAATACTTGCCCCGGTGTACAGTACTTCTGGATTTGTATTAGGGGAAGGCAATGCCGCAGTCGAAAACTTTTTGTTAAGGCTTGACACGCCTGAACGCAAAAATGCCCGTAACATTGCCATGACTAAAGGTAAATTGCTCTACTTCTTACAAGGTGTTAATTGCCCTCTACTGAGAGCAGTGATCGACGGATTCCCAGTGACACGAGTGCTCGTGGGGCTGGCTTGTTGGGTGACGTTGGCGTTATGGGGCGGTTCTGCGCGGTGGTGCTGGTGCTGACAGGTTGGTCTGGCTCGTATCGTTTCTGTATAAACAACTCCCGGCGCGCAAGGGGAGAGGGGAGAAGTAAAGCAAGTCACGCGGCAGGCACGACGGCCAGGGCAGATAAATTCAAGGTCGTCGACTGAAGTTGGGCTATGTTTGGATCGTCGTCAACTAGATATCCATTATCCACTTGTCTTGAGGCCCCAAGTACCAATGTACAACAATTTGCAATATTTTAATGAAGGTGATTCGGCAGTAATAAATCTGTGAGACCATGTTTTCTTTGCCCCAAATGAGTTTTTTTATTAATAGTATAAATTAAAATGTTAATAATAAGAAAGCCATGTGGCTCAAGGAGAGCGTAGAGAGGTGCAATCCCGGCTTCGTTTTCCGGTCGGGGCAAAAATAGAGGCGTGGTTTTCCTTCGGCTCAGTTTCTGTAGCTGTGTCGAAGGACAGTTCAGAAGGGCCGAGTTTGCTAATTTCGGTGAAAGGAATGTCATGTTCGCCCCATGTCTCACGTACTTCGGGCGGACGATCGACCCAAAATGCCAAATACAACATACTGTAGCCGGCCTGGCTTGCCGAGATCGTAAAGGCTGGTCATAGTTATCTCGGTTCGAAGGGTCGTGGGTTCGGATCCCGCCTTCGGGAATGGATGTTTGTGTGTATTGGTGTCGTCCATGTGTGTGATGTTCCCCCACAGTAACCCCAATGTAAACAAACAAAGAGGTCGCTACAAGATCGCGTAGTTAAAAAGAGATCTAAAAAATCAAACATAATAATTATTTATTTACATATAATTGTTAAAAATCTGAAAAAGTTTGAGAAGGGATACATTGAAAATTTTTGCAGAGAAAATATGGGGTGAAAATATGGGGAGAAGGGCGTCATCAGAGAATATACAGGTAGAGGGTCATTTTGAACCGCAGCCAAGGTAGTCTCCTTAAATGTTTTCCCGAATCGACACTCTTCTCTAAATTACGCCTTCTCTATCCAGTGCTGGGCTTGTCATTCTGTGCAATGACATGCAAGTTTTGAACCGTCTGCTGTTTATCGCAAGAATAACATCGTTGTTACACGTCATGCAGATGCTGTCACTGGTGGAGAATCAGCATACAAGTAGGCATGTTCTCTAGAGGACCAGAGGGGCTGTCCTCCCAGAAAATGTCAAAAGGGCCCCGTAACCCTCAGTAATAAAACATTTTATTCCCGTAATTATAATTCAATCCCTTTTACTTCCTCGTACAGCAACGTTTCGATTTTCACGGAAAAACACTTTTGGGTTCTTCAGATAACGAAAAAGTGGTTCTTTTTTCAAAACGTCCGTCCGTGTGTCGTCTGTGAACAATCCTAGCCCCAAAACAATATGTAGGATTTTTTCCAAACTTAAACACCTATCAATCTGACCTCACTGCGATTTTGAAAAGTATAGATTAGTTTTTGGGGGTACTTTACATATAGCCCCAGCCCCATTTTCACAATGTTAGTAAGTGTGATAAAGTGAAAATCGATTGATGGCAAACGTGTGTCTGTCTGGCCGTCTGTCTGTGCACAACACTAAGGCATAAACCGTTCAGCCGTTTTTCTCCAAAATTGATATTCCCCAATCGTTCTGGCTGATGTCGCAGCCCCTGAAAATTGAAACCGATACTTTAACTTTGGAGGTATTTAACATGAAGTCTCTCAGACATTTTCAAAAAAATATTCCATATTTTGATATTTCCATATTTCTGGTCGCGGTTTACTTTCGTACCCCTAAGAGAAACAGTGCTGAAAATAGTATGATTTGTACATCGTAACTTCTAGGCCGAGAGTCAGTACCTCCATTTGCGATGAATTTCGCCGCAGGTTTTTATAAATTACTCCTCACAATACCCGGTAAGGTATGTTACATTTAAAATCATCTGATTCTCAAAAGTAGTTGTGATACACAATGATACAGACTTTCACGTATTAGTTTTCTATTTCCGTTGGTCTTGGCTACCTATTCAGACTTGCCACTTATTCTTGCCTGATGCCATCTATCGCCGCCCAAAGTACATTTTTTGAATATTAAAAAAAAATATAATACAGGAATATTTAAAAAATATTTCTATACGTAGAAAGGAAATATTACTTTAAGAACATTAAAGAACAGTAAAACTTCGTCATAAATGGCAATTTTCTTCGAAAAATTTGGAGCATTTTTTAATTTTTTTTTATTTTTTAGAAAATGGCGTGTAAGCGCTAATGTATTTGAGCCTTTTTTTCACAGAAAACTATTCGGAAACTATAATAAAAACTTCATTTGGTGTTATTGCAAGCACGTCCAGTCGCTAATGCAATAGTGTTTACAAATCACTGGAAATAAGTATATTGACGACGTGAGAGATATTTAAAAAATATATTTGTGCAATTTAAAAAAAATGAAATGAATACAGCAAAATTAATTGTATGTCATCTTAAAGAGTGCAATTAGCACTATCTTTTGGAAACGTTTTAATAAAAAAGCTGATCCCATTTTTTAGTAAATGGCGTTTGAGCGTTTTTAAAAATGCGGAACTTTGAGCTCATTTAGAAAGAAAATTGTTGATCTTTCGGAGAATTTTATATGGCATTAATGAAAGCATGTGTGCTCATAAATATAATAATGTGAACGAATCGCCGTTAATGTAAATATTAATAACGTGAGATACAAGTCAAAAATACATTTTTGTAATTTTGGAAAAAACGAAAGACTAGAGCAAAATGTCATCTCATAGAGTACATTTAGCACTATCCCTACCAGAAGTTTAAAGAAAAAATGTGGAAGCGTTTTTGATAAAATTTAGTTTTTGTTATCTTTTTAAAATTACATGCAATATTACGCAAAAGTACTAACATTTTCAAAAAATGTTCAGGACCTTAATGAAAGAACAAAGTATGAACAGCAAATTTCACTTCAAGGAATAATCTATATCTTCAATTTTGTAGTTGTAGGTGGACTCCGCAAAAATATTTAACTTTTGAAATTTTCGAAAATTTAGTGTTAATCCTGAAAATCGAACCTATTCTACCTTTGTACGTGTATTTTACTCCATTCTTACAAGATATTTAAAGAAAAACTGGGAGCTATTTTTGAAAAAAAAAAAAAATGAAAATGTCCCAGGGGCTTGATGTAAAATACCCCCAAATACGGTACCCCCAGATATGGTTTTCCAAATCGCAGAACGTCGACTCAGGCGAAATTAACAGGGTTTCTTCAATTTGGAAATAATCCTACACATGGTTTAGATGCTAGTGTTGTTTACATACAGAAGACAGACGGACAGACAGGCAGACAGACGGACGTTTAAAACAAACATTTTTTCGGTATCAGCGGTCCCCAAAACGGGTATTTCCGTTTAAATCTCGAAATCGATTTTCCACAGCATTACATAAGCTCCCTTATTCTACGTATAATTAGAACGTATGTATTGAGATGTTTACCCCGCCTGTCATTTTTCTAGTGGCTAATTTGGTCTTCTAGCAGCAAAAATTCCTCAATTTGCATAGTAGTGATGATTCGTACCGACACAGCTAATTGATCTGTTCGAAGGGGAGGTTGTTAACTTATAATCCTACTTATTTATAGATCTAACGTGAAAGTGAAATTGCATAAAGCATTTCTGGCCTACTTTCTCAATCAGCAAATTGTTCATTTTTACTTATTATTTTTATCTCATCAAATTTAAAAGGTGTGTACGACCGTTTTAATGTCACACTTTGGCTCGCGAGATAATTTCTCATCGATAGTCTGCCTATCTCATCTAATCTCCCCTCTACCAATTTCCATACGTACTCAAACTGACTAGAAATGTTATCAATTCTCGCTGAGAACTCACCTTTAATTTATCTCTTTGTTACTAGTAATGGATCCAGGATACCAAAACACTGTTTCCCGGATTGCCGCAACATTTCATAGTATCACAAAACGTGGATTTAATTGTTACTTTCCTATACGATTTAAAATACTTCTCGTCTTCTGCTTAGGAAAAACACGGTTGCTGATCCTTGTATCTCAAAATTGTCATCTCCGGAGAGTAATCTCCGGTTACCACCGGCAGCTGTGACACAACTAAACTTTGACTAAGTCCTGTTTCTATATTCTCATGATCATCTTTAAACTTATAAATCATTTCTATGTCTAATTCCCCTATTTCTTTATTCCTAATTTCCTCAACATTGTCTACTTTTTCTTCTACATCTCGGTTAACCTGAACATTATCAAGGCTATCAGTTTCATTACAACTCGTATTCTCCCACTTCTGAATGTTAAAATCTACCTGTTTCTCTAATTTAACATTTTTACTTTCATCGTTATTTACTTTCTTGTCCTCTTTTTCGCAATTCTTGATATAACTTTCATGTCCCACTTTTCTAGATGAATTTTCAGCATATACTTTACTCTGCACTTCTTGAATTTCCTCGCCCAGCTCCGATGACCTAATTTCAGAATTTTGAACAATTGAAAAAAGTACTTCCTTTGTTTTCTGATTTACAAATCTCTATTTCCTCCTGTGCCACCGTAGCATGTTCAATTATACCCTGCGATATATTACTTTCACGATTCTGGATTTTGTTCTCAACATATTTTGCAAATTGACCAATTTTACTTTCATGTTTATTTATTTTCTTGTGAATTCTTTCCAAAAAATTCTGAACGTGACTTGTATGTTGTTCTTTGTTAGATAAAATATGAGCATTAAATTTAGTATGTACGTATTGCATGTCCTTGATGTTTTGTGTGTATGTCCTGCATGTCCTTCAGCTATATTATGTGCAATATGTACAATTTAAAAAATGTAATAACAAGATTTTCTCAAAAGGGTTCTGAGGTGTCAGTAGCGCAGAAAATGCAATATTACGTAGCTGTTTCCAATAACGCGTGAAAGTATGTGCTGTTGTAGCCCCACTAGGTTTTTTCAGGCATGTAAGAATATGTTAAATGGATTCTCTGCAATAAGGGCGTTTGAATGTGATCATATCTTAATCTAATTGCTGATGTTTACTGGTAGTATTGACAGGGAAGTACATGATTCTTCCGTTTGCAATAAGTCCATATGTGCAGTACAATTGTGAAGGGAAAACACTTTTTTTTTCGTTATATCTTAATTTCCTTGTCAACTTTTTAAGCCAATCTTTAAAAACTATTTTCTTTATCCAACCTTCGCATTACTGACATAATCAACTGGTAGAGTCTTGACACCTTTTAAACGTCTAGGTCGCTTTGATATCCCGATGGTGAAAAGAGAGCTTTACTCTATCATGTTGTGCACAGTCATGTTTTCGCGTTGTAAATATCGTTTGGGTTACACCCTTCTAAAAGACTTGGCGGATATTCAGACCATTGGTTTCACACGCCATGGCCCACATATTTTCTTTCTCTGGCTGATTTTTACTATCCCGTATACATATGTATATACGGAGTAATATTCGTAGTACTCGTATAGTTATGAAATGCTGCGCGAATAAAAACGGCGAATTGACGTCAGGAAAAAATCATTGCGGGGACCTTATAATAAAAAAGTGGATAAATCCAGTTGCTAAATTAAAAAAATTTCTAACATGTGGTGTAGCCAGAATCCCCTATTTGTGGGTACTTGATGTCGAAAAACCAATTGACTGCAAAACGTCCGTCTGTCCACACCGCTACCGGCTAAACCATGCGTAGATTTTTTCCTAATTGAAGGAAACCCTGTTCATCAGGCTCGAGGCAAAGTTTTGAGATTTTGAAAAATATTCTTTAAAAATTGAGGGTACTATACACGAGGCCACCCAGACATTTCAATTCTTTTTCAAAAATGCTCCAAATGTTTTCTTTAAATTCTTGTAAGTAAAGAGTAAAATACATTCATAAAGGTGTGGCATATGTAAGAATTTCACGGTTCACTCCAAATTGTCAAAAATTTCAAGTTTTCACACAGTCCTAAAGTTTTTCAACGTTTTCACACAACTACAAAATTGAAGATAGAGATGATAGAGATATTTTCCGTCATATAAAATTTGTTGCTCATAGTGAGATCTTTCTTTAAAGTCAGGGACATTTTTTAAAGCGTATAGGAAGCTTTAAAAAAGTGTACATGACTTTACTAAATCACTATAGTACGATAACTACTATAGTAATATGTGCAATTAAAAACAACAACAAAAAAAACAAGATTTTCTCAAAAGCAGCCCCAATTTTTTCTTTAAACATTTGTTACGACTAGTGCTAAATGCACCGTATATGATGACATAAACGCCATATTGCTCTATTCCTTTGCGTTTTCAAAAGTTGCAAAAATGAAATTTTTTGACTTGACTCTCACGTCGTTTAATATTTATATTAGAGGCAATTTGTTCAAATTGTTATATTTATGAGTACATGAGCTTTAAATAATGTCGCATACAGTGTCTCTAAAACTCAACGGTTTTTTATGAAAACTAGCTCAAAACTCTGCATTTTCAGAAACGCTCAAACTTCATTTTCTCAAAAAGTCTCCAATTTGTTCGCGCTTTTCGAACGCATAGTGCTAATTGCACTCTTTAATGTAACGCAAGGTTCCATTTGGGGGTACTTTTTTTTTCAAAAACTAGACACAAATCTAAGTTTTTTGACGGGTATCTCACGCCGTTAATATTCACATTTCTAGCAATTTATAAGCATTATTGTATTTGTGAGTTAAATTGCTTCAAATGACTTCTAATGAAGTTTTTTGCAAACGCAAAACATCTGTGAAAAGGAGTGTGCCTTTATTATTTTTAATACATGAGGGAATACAAGTGAATTTTATATTATGAGCCCAAATGCTTTAAACGATTACTAATGAAGTAATAAGAGAATACAGGTGTATTTTATAATTGAATGAATTTATGAATACAAATGCTTTAAAAGATTACTAATGAAGTAACTCAAAATCCCAAATGTTTTCATGTGAAAGTAGGTAAAAATTATGCATTTTCCAAAACGCTCACACGAATGTTTCGGGAATGGCTCTACATTTCCCCCCGGAAAAAATTCGTATGAATAAAAGGTTTTGCTATTATTTTATATTCTCATAATCTCATTTCATTTAAAGTATGACTAACAAAAACTTGAAAAAATGAATCAACAAAAATATGCATGCTTCTTGATAAAACACAATTTCGTTGATTTAAATATTACAATAAATAATACTAAATCATTGTATTAATGAAGGCATATGTAAATTCATTTTTACAAGTAAATTCGTTAATGTTATTTCATAAATGACACCATCTCGTTACGATTAGTCCTAATACTTACGTTGTTTATACTCTACTGAAAGTAGAAGAATATATCTCATAAACATTTTTTAAACAAATCAATCAGAAATATATTACGATTAAAAATACATAGACTGATACACTTTATTAGTAATACTCGCATCACATCTTGTTTTCCAATCATCCATGTCTAATTGAGCATTCTTCTTGGCGGTTTCTTCCGCAACCGACCTCAATGTTCACACTCTCTGAAAAACTGGTAGCCAATCGCTGCGTCGGCCTCGCGTGCCTGTCCAGCGCGTTCCGCTTACTGCCCATCGCTTGCTCATTTCGTGCCAGAGGCGGGAGGTAATTTGAGATTCGGGAAAGATGTGTAGGTTGAGAAGATTATTGGTTCGGGATGTTTCTCGAGTTCCTTGGTGACTTGTTAGATTATTTTTAATGTAAAATAATTTCTAGAGCCAAAGGCAGGTGGCGTGTAAATTAGGTCCTAAAAAGGTATTCCAGGGTCAATTCGCGAGACCAATTAATATTTGTGCAAAATGGGTGGGATGAAGATTTAAAATAGAAAATTGATTTATTTAAACAAATCCTGTGAAAGTGTTGCGTAAAATGTTGAGTAGGCAAGTGAAGCAGATCTGTTATAGTTTATTTTAGGAATAAAGTGGTTAGATAGAAAATGAGTTCGCTTGAAATGCCATTTTTACATATTCATGTGAAGTGAAAGGCGAGCTCCATGATTGCGGAAATATTACTTGATGCGCGAGTTTTCAAAACGCTCAAAATTGAATTGGATATGGTTTGAAGAAATAGTTCGTGAAAAAGTGCTTGTGAAACTTCAGCGTGTGTGGCGTACTTTCTGTGCTTCGTAAGCTGGACTTCACACCAACTGTGGCAATTTGCATCTCGAAAAACACCGTTTTCTTTCTCGTTCGTTCCTAAATGTTCCTTGTTCTTTCCAGGTGGCAACGAAAATTTTTTAAAAATACGAAAAATACGTGTTGTAAAAGTTATGTCGAATAGTTATAAGCCGGAAAGTAAACATGCAGTTTAAACTTTCCCATAGTAATTTTTCAAATGTGTAATAATCTGGGCAATGAATAAAATAGTAAGCTAATCAATAGGACCAATATTATTTGGAGATTAACATTGCGTATTTATCAAGCTTTCAAATAACGGGGCGGCCCAACCCAGGCATTGAAAGCGGGAAGGTTGCCGAGAGGATAAACTGTTCCGGCTGGACCGGATATCGGCCCGTTGTCGTACATGTGCCAGTGGCCCGCCTCCCGCCCCCCCCGGAGGGTTGGGTCCCCCGATATAACGAATTGGTTGTGGGAGTTGTGCTCACAACTAGGTTAGTCTTGTGCCGTTTGGTTCCCTCTCCCGACTGTGACGGATGAACACAGGTACATACTAGCCATACGCAAAACAACCTACTACGAAACTGCCCTGCAGGAGAAATGAGTACGTGCTTATAAAGATGGAAGGGATAATGAACAGCACGAACCCAATAGCAGAGTAGACAAGAAGTTTCCCCACATTCACTCATTTGTATGTTTGGAGGGATAATTCTTTGCTTCGTGCATTGGCTCTGCTCTGATATATTTTAGGAGATAATGGTCCTCAATTTTTTAATATATTCTGGGTTACCTGCAACCTTGTAATATTGAAATTAGCATCACTTATCTTTAAATTTACTCTGACGTTTCCAATCTATTGAATATTAAATCATTAAAATTCACTAGATAAACACTTTCAATGTTCATTAATTACAATATTTTTTAATTAAATATTTAATATTGGTCGTAGATGGGCAAGAATTGTATTTACATTTTAAAATGAAATTAATACAGTTTGTATAAAAATGTTGGCTTCAGTATAGAATGAATTAACTTCTTAAAGATTAGGATGGGCAAATGTAGAATGAGGCTGTTTTGTCTGTAGTATTAAGGCGCTTTGCTTAGCCATAATTATGGGATCCACTCCTGTGTTGGATTTACCGCTAATTCGACATGGCTATGCATTCCGTCGTAGATTGAAGGGGAAACCTAGTGAGCTGCGAGATCCTTTTGCATTCGCAATTAAATCGATTCTGAATGGAGGTGACCTCGCCTCTGGACAGAAGGCTAGGTCACCTGTCACATAGCAGGGAAAGATCAACTCAGTCAAACTGGTAATTCGGAAGGGACAGCACGCTTACAAGTCTTACAGGGCAGGGTGGGGTAAGTTAAGTACTAGGCAAGTATTTCAATTCGATATTTGTATTACAACTTTAAAATTTGTTTGCGACGTTTTCCAGTAAACTTTTACTTGCCCCATAAAAGCTAATTCAAAACACAGCAACGAAGAATTTGGAATACGCCTTCCTATCTGAAGATAACCGATAGGTGTGCCCATCTTTCAGTCGATTTTTCAGTGGGTAACGTAGTTAGCGGACAGGCAACAATTTAACAGGTGGAAATTTTCGAAATGGCTGCAAAGCTTTTTTTTAATATAAAAATTAAATGAAAACAAATACTTTTTTCCTTACCAGGATCTAAGTTCGCGTGAAACGTGGCAAAAATTCAAAATTCTAAAGTTCATGTATTTCGTTGGCAAAAAATACGGTTAATATAAAGGAAATGTAAAATATGACTCCTTTTTTACAGAGAACTTTTTATCAACTACCTAGTAAATACTCTATAAGCCTACCCAATAATAGTCAATAATATTGTAATTATAAACTGTTCTAATTCTTTCTGTCGGCTGCTTATGCTATGTCGGCTGTTTAACGCCATCTTTTTTTTTCTTTCAGCCCTTGTTCTATTTGTAAACATTAGTGTATAATAACTAAGAAAGAAATTTTGAAAAAATGCAACAAAGTAAATAAAGATTGGCAATCAATTACATGCGAATTAATTTCCTTACTCCTGCTCAAGGCGAATAGTTCAACCAGAGTTTTAACTCTGTAGACGTATGAATTGTTTCTGTGAAGAACAGATGTTTGTTCCCATTTTGTTTCAGGTACTCTTTTCAATGTAATACTGACGTAACCATACTTACAGGACTGGCAACCATTAGGCATGAGGGCAAGTCTGTATTCAGATACAAAAAAAATAGCGAATTAGTCAAACTATCTCAGGTTTAAGCTATACCGAATGCGAAGATATAAAATGTGTGGAAGTCTATAGTAAGGTGTGGTTGTCATCATTATTCTACATTTTTTTTCAAATTCCAGTCTCGATCAAGATATTTTGTGAAGTTTCCTTAATCCATCGAAAAAACTGCTAAAATGAGCCATTTGTTTCTGGAAGAGAGTGGAAATTACGCCCAGTCTTGAGTTTTAACTTTTTTTAGTTGTGGTAATAAGCCGAAGTTGCGCGATTGCTAAGAATACTAAAAATCAAATCTTTAGACATTTTAGATGCAAATTTTTCTATTACGTAGGAGCAAAAAAGTTTAGTATCCAACGTTTTCTAAGTAATATATTTTTGGTACAACAACTTCTTAGAACTTTCATTAATGCCTTCAACTCACGTATAGAAAGGCAAGGTAAGAATTTTGGATTTAGAGAATAACGTGCCACAATTGCATCCCTTTCCGTACTTCAAACGACCAAAACCTTCCTTTGAAAAAATAGACATTAATTCACACCGCACCCAATCTTTAAAATAATAATCATTTTTTAAAATATAAATTCACATCTTTCTGAAATACAGAATTAAATAATGTAAGTTTTATTTTTTTTAAAATAACAATTTAAGTGTCGCTTTTTTAATTGCAGGTCCCTTAGAAACAACCACCCACGGTGCGCACAGAGAGGGCGAACAAGTTCCGACTCGTTCTGCTTTTCCTTTTTTTTTACTTCCAAATCCTCTCTCGTTCAGTAACTTATCTCAAACAGGTCTAACCTTTCTAAATTTGTGTGGGGGTATTCAATTTCAAATAAGTTTTGGCTCTTTTCATCACCGCAGTGAAAATGGCCTTACCAACGGTAGGGCTTCATTTTCTAGTTTTCTGGTAGCTTTTGACTCCTGCTCATTTCCCATACTAAATTTTGTCCAGCCTTACTGCATTGATCTGATGCCTCTTCCAGTCGTCATTCACTTCGCACTTTGAAAGGTCACATTTAACGTTCCATAAATATTTTTTCAACGCCAATCCTGTGAACATATTTTGTTATTCTTGTCGTAATGTTGTACAATATCTTAAATAATCCCCGAACTGCCCCACTTTTTTCTTAAAGGCTTACGAAGCTTTTCAGGTTTATCGGCAGAATTTTTCCCCGTTATAATCGGACGGATACATTTTCTCGAGCTGGTCCGGATGGCGAGGAATTCGGGCCAAGGCAGTAGTTTCCGTAGCAACTCGGACCAAAGGATCGCGGTTCGAGCCCCCGCCTCGGGCAATGGAATGTATTGTGTTCGTCCATTTTCAACCCCTATCATATCGTGTCATCCCATAGTTACCATAAACGTTTACAAGCAATAATGGCCGATACGTAGTCAGTAAAAGAAAGTAATGAAATATTCGTAGAACGCAATATTTCTCGATAAGTACGGTCACACTTTTCGTCAAAGCACTTTTTCAAAACTATTATCAATAATAATATTTTTCATTCAATGTTTTACATGTTTCTAATGTTAATTTTTGATTGTAGCGTTCGCCTTCTACAATAAGTCTGCACATCAACAAGGTACGGTCATTTCAGATCTTAACTTTTGGGTGTTTACGAATGTTAAATTTTTTTTGAAGTGATAACTACTATTAATTACTTTTATTGCTAATTGTATCGCATGGAATATGTAAAGCTTTCGGGAAAATCGCAATGTACAAAAGTTGACTACGCATCAGTAGTATTCACAACGTCCAGCGTACCTGTGCCGAGAAACTGTCACATTTAATTCTCACCCTTTCCCTGGCCCATTTCCCATCCTTTTCCATGAAGGAAGCCATTAATGAACGTGTTTATTTGTTAAAAAAATGTATAAATGTACGAATCCTACTGAACACAATATTAAATAAAAATAAAAATAAAACAATGCAATTGACGTTGGAAACAAATTTTCGATCACTGTTTATTGCAGTATTTTAGAGATGGTTCTTTCAACAATTTCACACTTCTAAATCATTTAAGATCCTTGACAGTTAGGCTTTTCGCTTTCCTTGATAGGCACAAAAGTATTAGAACAACTTTTATCTGTTGCCTAAAAAACCAAGTAAATAAGCTAAAATACCAAAAAATAAGTTTCCATTGCGGAAAATAACAGGTATCGGGAAAGTTTCAACCCTACTCTCTGCAGTATTATTTAACTTTCCTGGTTTTTGTAATGAGAGAATGGAAGTAGGGAGGGTTTTTGGCGCGGCAGGCGCCAACCTGCTGGGGGTGTTGAAAATTGAAAATTATTTGTAATACAAAAAAATTTGAATTATTTTTTCTGAGTTCTTATGTACCTCGAGAAAAGGCAATTCCGTAATGTGGATTGCGATGTTGGCAGTTTGTCTAAAACGATTTGCTCTATTCTATAATTTTAAATTTGGTTGCTTTTTTAAATTATTCACGTAGTATTGTAGGCTGGCGCATTTTTGTTTGTTGTTCATCTTTCAAGATATTTTACTTTAGTTAATTTTAAAACTTTGTTTCTTTGGTTTTGTACCACGCCACAATTTTTCCCTACTACCGCCGGTACCGAGCAAGAAGCTCTCAGATGTTAAACCCCACACTCTTCCCTATCCTCCTGTTTCCATTCAAGAGGTAAAGTTGTCAACGAAATCGTATTCTTTGTTTAAAAATGTATGAAGAGGACTTCCATTGGTGGCAGTGGTAGTTTCGATATTTGCCGAACCAGCAAAAATTTGATAGAATGTCCAAGAATATTTCTATATTTCAAAATGTTAGTTCGAGCGCCTAGAATGCTTTGTTTAGGAGTTATTTAAAGATATATCTGACTGAATACTGCGGGTTTCATTTGACATGAATATTAAGATGCGTTTTTCAAAAAGACAATCCTAAGTAAAGTAAAAGTGAAATTCTCACGTCTCATTCTTTCTTCAGAGACCTAATTCATAAATATCGTTGCATCTGAGAGCCGCAAAAGGTACTATGTATACTACTGAATAATATATGAAATGTGCTACAGAATGTGAATGTGGTTAATTATCAGTTTTATTTGGTAAATAATTGATTCACTTTTCATTAAACGATAGTTTCACAATGCTATTTCCATACATTTTCCAAAAATTAGATTTATGAACGCAACAATTTGTAATAGTTCCAAAATTTTTCTAGTTTTCCTGGAAGATGCCAACTATAAAAAAGGCGCAAAAAATGTTTGTTTTTTCTTCTCTCAGTCATTAATATCAAGAATAACTGGATAGAAACCGAATCTACCAATGTCAGGACCACAGCACTTGCCTACGAAAGTTCGTTCAGCTATAAGAAAGAGGATTAAGGATTCAGGAAGTTCGCAAAACCCTTAGTTCTGTAAAACTTAACATACAGTAAAGCGGCGAGGTTAATCTTTGCATCACCATTGATAAATTTCCATACCTGACTACCGAGAAGATTCAAAACATTTGGCTCTACTGAAATTACGAAGAAAATTAATAAAACTGTTAGTTTAAAACTATTTTACTAAAATATTTGTTACGTAACATTAACTTAATGTTTGTTTTGAGATGATGGCATTGTGAACTAGGAAAAGTCGCAGCTTCTGAAAATTAAATGAATTCGTATAGTAAGATTTCAAGGAAGAACGATAATTACAACAATTTTCAGAAGAAAATAAAACATTCCTACTAGCAATAATGTGTATCTTCAATACAACCTAAAAGAAAAATCAAACATCAATTCAAGAGAACACTAGGAAACTGAAACTGAAACGCATGAAACCAGAATTATCAGAATCAAATACATAATATAAGCCATAAAAAGGAAGCATTTGGTAGCAAAAATTTACAAGAATTTATATATTGCCTTTATTAAAAAATAAAGAAATCGGAATACAGTAGCATAATATTGAATCCTCTAGAAAGGCAGTTGTAGGAGAGTGACATTTCGCAGATCTTCACTCAGTAAGATCCCGTAACTAATTTATTTTTGTAAAATTTTCACTTGCGAACGTAAGGTAAGAATATTACGGAGAATTATCTGAACATTTCACACTCAAAGTAGTCATTTATTCAATTTTTCACAACTCTCCATGAAAGCGATGCCAATATAAAGCAAGTTTTAAATAGCATGTGTTAATGACAGTAAAACTACCTCTTTGATAAAAAGGAGTATCTATTTTTATCCAGTATTTTTTAGTACTAATTTTTGTGCAAATATCCTACAATGCAGAATGTCTACTTAATATATTTCGTAAAATGGGGGATACATTGCTGATGGATTTCTACATATTCTAAAATGAAATTATCACATTTTAATGTAATTAATAGAAACCATTTTAGTTAAAATCCGATTCATCTAGAAAGAAAGTCGCTTGTGGAACGCCGAGCTTGTTAAACATCAGATTAAATCTTAAATGTTAATACTTTCTTTCAGGAAGATTTAACTTTCTCAGTTTACTTTCAGGAAATGGACCAACAGTGGTAGTTGTATGCTGTAGTCATAGTGGGTAACGTAATGTAAAAGTGTTATGTAAAGCATATAAAAGTAGCACCAAAATACACCTAGAGATGTGTATAAAGGAAAAATTTGAATTTTTTGTAAAGTTTAAATGGCGAAAATTGAAATGCAAAACACGTTAAAAAAATAATACTCCCCTATTATGAATGTAATATTTAGAACGAGGCTTCTGAATGCGAGGATGAAACGGTTTGTTAAACTATTGTAAGATCCCAATATATATTTGCAGTTTCATGAAAGGTTTGTGCCATGTGGTAAAAAAGTACTTCGGTTCCAGGTCCAAGTTAGAGGTGAAGGGAGAACTGCTGCCTAAACTCTAAAGGACATCAGAGCAGATAATTGTTTTCGTCGACGGCAATAGCGTCCTCGCCCAGAGCTGCAATGCGTCCTCCCTGCATCGAAGGACGAAGGCGGCCCTGAAACCTCCCCTAGCGCAACAACAAGTCGAGAGAAAATGAGCTGGCCAGCTGATGTTTTCCTTTTAGGAGTTCCACGCCCCTTCAAACCTCACCTTCAAGAAACACGGAACTGTCACTTCGATGAAATGGTCAGTACTCTAAAACTAGTCCTAGAAATTAAGAAGACTCGTAAACTGTTCTGACGGTTTCATCAAAGAAACAAGCTTGCCACGTAATAGTTTCATATACTTGTACATCTCTTTAAATAATTTTGGGCACTATAATTTTTTTTCCACCAGTTAACGGCTACAGTAAAACACACAGTTTCCACAAAGTAATGTTAGAAGTGAAGTTTGCTGTCGAATATATTTAGAATGTTTGACGCGCTTTCACTATTTTTGAAATTATAAAAATTAGCTGTAAATTCTGATATTCACTAGTATTTGAAGTTAATGAAAGGTCTTAGAAATCAGGTTTTAGTGTCTGATTAATCTATGAACGCTTGATTACTTGGTAATATTATTATATTATTAATATTTTATTATTATTATTATGATTCTTATTATTGTTATTATTAGTATTTAATGAAGAAAGTTAGGGACCGTAACGATAGAAAACTTGGGAGGTGAGTCATCAGAATGAATTGTTAAGAAATGCTCGTTCCTGTCCAGTTTGGAGACTGAAGAGTCATTTGAGGTGTCCTTGTGATTGCGAACTTGATATTCTAATGTAATATCAGAACACCTTAAAATGCGTCGGAATCGCCAGCGACTCATAAAAGGATTTATCATCATTCACATCGATGTACTCTGATATAAAAAATATATTCGAAGTCTTGAAAATAATTTGCTTTCTGATAGTTTTAAAAACAATGGCAATGACATAAGATGTTTAACGGAATTTGTCAAATCTTTGCAGTTAAATCATTAACTCGTTCTAAATATATTTATAAAAAACAAGTGATGATGACATTTTCTTACTTGTTTAAGAAAATTAATTAAATGTTTCAGAACCGTAGGGACTGCAATAACTAGCTACATGCTACCATCTTGAACTGCGTTAACGAAGGCAAAGGTCCTAAAAGGCCTCAACAGCAGACCAAAAAGGAGCTGGAGTGCTCGGCATGTGGTCAGGGGCTGATTCTAATTACCATGTTCCACCTGCAGCATTTCATGAATGTGTGAGATACTGTCGGTGACCGGGGTGTTGTGGTGTTTCTCAACAGAAGAGTACTAAACTATGTGTCGTAGTGCTGAAGTGGCTGAAGGTATAAAGTTATTGGACTTGTGAACATGCGAAACTTGTAAACTTGTACCTCGCGTTCAGTCTCACTCGTTCAGTCGGACTGAGGACCGACACACTTGTAAAATGCAGATCATTGACCTCTAATTTTTGTTTCAGAAAGAGTTCGCAGCAGGAGCTCGGAAACGTGCTGTGAAAATGTGCTAAGGAAATGTAGTTTGATTAATACTAATTCTACTAATATATATTTAATGGGATGTTTTAACATTGTCTAAAAGTTCGTTACAGATTTCAAGATGCCAAACTAGTTTTGTTAATTTTAATACGAACGTTTTGAGGAACTGAACATTGTTGAAAATATTATTTTAAGAATTTTACAAATACTTCACGTTCGAAACGAGTGAACATAACTCAACAGGAAACGTAGAAACCCAGAGCAATAAAGGATAGCGTAGAAGGTTAGAAATCTGCAACTACCTTACGTACCTGGTGCACCAGTTTTGGATTTATATTTAAGAGAAGGGATTCAAAGTGCAAAAATTGAAACTTTTGAATGTTGTAATCATTTCATTTTATGAGCATTTATAATCATTTTCAGCTTGAACTGTTCAATATTGCGTAATAATAGCATTGTAAAATAGTGAATAGTTGTAAAAAAAATGTAATTTTGTTCTACAAGACCTCTGATAAGATAATCTCTGACAGACCATGCGTAAATATTATTCCTAATCTCTGGAGAAATTCCAAAATACGGTAACTTCCTAAAGAATAACAATGTTCCTGACACCCCCCCCCCAATGAAATAAAATTCATATAAATCTTGTTCTGAATCTGGAAATCAATTTACCGCTTCCATAACTTAAAACGTTTGTTAAAATGACTAAATTGTGAACATTCATTTGCTATTAATATTCCTAAATGTGAATATCAATATGTGGCTAAATATTCTTTTTGCTGCCAAAACCCGAAAAGACCTGGTCATCAAATTTAGTAATGGACAAGAGTATTGGATTAAAATGTCAAAGTAACAAATGGTACGTTTAGTAATCGAAAACAAGTTATTAAACTGTATAACCCGACCAAACGAAGTGTAGTACTGAAGAGAGATAAGCGAATCTGAGAACTTACAACGCCGACAGCTGCGGTGCGCTTTAGCGCCGGGGCGGTTTAGTTCGGTTCATTCCTGTTCTTGTTCCATAGTAATGAATCACTTATGCGTAATAGTACGAAAAGATAATCAACCCAATTAGTTTTTTCAGATATTTTTCAAAGGAACATTAATCACACAAAAGCACTTACATGAGCGGTTAATAATTTGATCACCCAGTAATGATTTGAAACACTTCTCCATTACGTTGTATTTTATTAAAATCGAGAGAGTATAGAGAGACATCAAAATTATTTTCAGGGACTAGTACCATGTCGCGTGGCAGGGAAACGCCCAAGTATAACCTCGAAGGGCGATCAACGCAAGCGATTGGAACATATTTCAAACTAGATTTTTCAATTAGTTGAATTTGCAATGCACTCTAAATCGTGAAATACAGAAATGCACCCGTGTGCTGCTCAACAGGCCTGATAGCGCTGAAAAATAGCGTTGGCATGCTTGTAAATCGAACTCTCTTCAATGCAAGAGCTGTCAGCGTCTCTCTCTCTCTCTTTCTCATTCTCTCTCTCTTCTCTATATTATATATATATATATATATATATATATATATATATATATATTATATTATATATATATATATATAATATATATATATATATAAATGCGATATATATGATATATTTGATATGCGATTTGTCACATTTGGGATTATACATCTGAGATAAATATCAGAACGCGATAGGTCTCACACTGTATATACGTTTCAAGCTTCAAACGATTGCATGGATAAAACGTTAAAACTGCGTGGTATAATAACCGACCAAGCGGAGTGTAGGACTGGCGATGAGGCAGCACTGCGCTTGTTTTGCTTCGGAAAGAAAAAACTATTGCTATACTCGGTGCAACGGAAAATAGAAGCAATTATCTAGACCAAGGTTCGAAAGACTTATACAGGGTCCCTTGTAATGCCGTCTTATGACACAACAATATCCGTGGCAATCCATTTAAAATCACGGTGAAATGCCGACGCGTCGATAATTATACTTAAAATTGATAACGATATGAAGAATATGTAAGGACATGTAGAAGCACACAAACAGCTATATAGAAGTAACTGAAGACATGCGCTTGATGATGGACTCGTAACTGTACTTAACTTCTTTAGATTTTAGTAAAAGCATTCGACTCTGTAGATTACGATATCCTAATAGGGAAGTGCAAACATCTACGTTTTTCCTAATTCACACATCTCATTGATAGCAAGCTATCTCTACACAGGCAACAAATTGTAGTTGACGATCTGCACTCCAATCCAAAACCGCTCCACCGAGAAGTAACCTCAGGAATCTGTGTTAGGCACTGCTTCTCTTAATTTACATGAATGCCTATAGCGAACTTACAGAATGTGTCATCATATGTACGCGGTATGACCTGCAAATTAATATCTCCGGAAAAACCATCTCAGGTAGAAATGCTAAATAAATTAAATAATGTCCAAATGGTCAATGAGAAACGGACTCAATTTAAATCCTACAAATCACAAACATCATAATTGGCTCTTCCCAAATTGCATCACGAAACTTGAAGGTTTTATGTTCTGATGTGCTTATAGACCGATGTTGTAGTACCTCGTCATACAGAAGTGAAAAACTTTTTCTAATACTTGATCATATACAGCTGGGAATATCAGGTCCGAAATGTCTGTCGCAAGTTTTATGCTTCTTTGCAATCCCTTAGATATATCGATAAATGTCTCCCTACTAATATGAAGAAATGTTTAGTAATTTCGACTACGGTGATATTCGTTTAAAACATTTGAAAGATTCACACGCTCAAAACTCCTGTATTCGTTTCATTTTATACTATAAAAGGACTCAAAATTCCTGTATTTGTATCATTTTAAATAAAAAAATACTATCACATCTTCGGTGTTTATAAGAGCACAAAATATTAACACTAAAGGATAAGGCATTTGTATCACAGCCTTTGTCTTTTATTTAAGATGCTAAAAATGGGTTCCCCGATAACCGTAACAAATTATTTTGTACATCTTAAATCCTCTAGATTTCAGGAATCCAGTTACTTTCTATATTCCAAAAAGAAAACCAACTACTACAATAAATCGCTCGCATTACTGTCAACCCGGGAATGTAATAAATTGCTTCCAATATTGAAAACTCCTCATTAACATCTTTTAAGAAGCACCTGCATGATTTTTGCAACTAAAATCACGGTAGATAACGGATCAAATAAAAACTATTCCTTAGGAAGTTTAAGAATTGGATTAATATGTTTAGAATAGCATGAAATGTATTCTTGTAAAGAATGTTACTTTCTTGCGACCTGTTTCATACTGCCGGAACTGTATTTCTTCCTAGGAGCAGAAGCGATTTAACAGAAAAGGACTTAGCAGCATGGACCGCAACTGAGGATACCATCCCAAAGACCCGTTTCATGTTAGCTTTGTTTCCATTGTATTAGGACCGAGTCTGCCTGGTGGTTTTTCCCCGACTAGCGGGTTTTCTCCAGGATCGAGCGACGTGTGATGGTGTCTTTCTGTATAAATAGATCACAGTCGCTCTGAGTGAACCGCCAGGCTGCCGCGTAGCACGCAGATATTTAAACCACATTATCTTATTTAATTCCAATTGTGTTTTCAATCTCCATCTTGAATTTTAAATTTCAAACATATTGTAACATTATATCCATTTAACCTCTGATGTTTTTCTATTATATAGTTGCTTTAAATAACGTTTGCTTTCCGCTAACTACTTACACTTGTAGATTATATTACATTGCATTTTTTGATTACATTACTTTTTAGACTAATCTGTATATTTGTGACATGTGGTTAGGCTGGAAGAGCGGCGCCTAATGGCCCGAGCCTCGCATTATCAATAAAGTTGTTTGTTATTATTATTATTATTATTATTATATTAGTATTATTATTATTTCATTACTATTTATTACTATATTATTCATTATTATTATTATTATTATTATTTTATTATTATTATTATATTATTAAGAATTGGGATAACATTTTGAGTCTCTAAAAGTAACCGATTATATCTCCACTCATGCTACACATTTTTACATGATGGTGCATATTTATTTTCACTTCGATTTAATGAAAAACATCCAGGATTTTTTTTTCCTTTAACTTCCAGATTTTAATTCTATATATTAATAGGTAATTATTACAAACAAATTAGATTACTTTGATACTATGTGGCTAGGCCGAAGGCCTTTAGCCATTATCAATACTACATCCTTTCGCGTTCTAATCTTTCGAATTCTGGTATTCACCTCAATGGTCTCTTCATCGCAAATCAAAAGGCCGCGGGAAAAGAGACCACAAGGTACCGGCTCAGGAAAAAACGCCCTGAAGGGGGAAAAAACCTGCCGTCAGAAGCCGAGTAATTCTAATCTATCCGACATTTTTAGCTATTTTATTTTCTGGGCGCGGGCGTCCCGCGTCTCCTTCCAGTGCTTGGCCTCTCAGCTACCTGAAATCAAACGGCGCCACAGAAGATCGTCGCACCAACGCCTCTGCCCTTACATTTTCGACCCCCACCTTCCTTCACCCCCTAATGGTGCTTATATTACTATGCAGTTTTATTATTTATTTATTGGTCCAGTTATTTACCAATTGACTACGACTTTTGACTTATTTTGTTTACTGCCTGTTTACTAACTTAAACATAAAATTAGTACTTATTGTTAGCTTATTGACTTATTTATTTTCTCTCCAGTCTAGGCTCCGCTCAAGCTAACCAGTAGTGTGTTTTCCCACTCCTAATTTCAGTTTCCCTAATGGTCCGGACTTTCCGTAAAAAATGTTCTAATTTTATCATAAATTTAAGATCTTTTATCACCTAAACTGTTTTGGGCGAAGCGTTACGTCCTGTTTAGGAAGTAGTAATTTCCCATTTCATCTTTTTTTCTCCATGTTTCGGGTTGCACAGCAAATTAAAGGATGTGGAATCCAGTCTTCCTATCACCGCAAGCACAACAGCTGCATTACCACTAGCGTCCTTTAGTCTACGCTGCATCCACCCGCAACCCCTGAACCAAGCGGTATCCCCTCTTGCGTCCTTTTCACCGAGAGTAATGTATGTAACTTTCCGCACCATATGGATCGCATGGATTTGACTCACCCAGCGAACTTTTTCAGCCGTTGCTGCCAGATCTCTTGCCTCTTTAATCATCCGCCAGCTATCGGAAATCAGCCTTTCTAATCTCACGGGTTCCCCTATCTCCCCACGCATTTCGGAGAGACGTTCTCCAACCCTGCGCGGTCAAGTAGCGTTTAAATTTTTTATTTTAGGCAAGATTTTAATA